TGTGTCAAAACCTATTTACATAATTCAGCAGAATTCAACAAAGACAATGTCTGGTGTTAAGCTAAGACAGTAAGGTTCTGTTAGTAGCCTTCGCAACTGACAGCTCTTCTCTAACAGAAACATAGATTTTAGAAAAGTCTAAGTGAAAGCAGCGACCTGCTAAACACCCGTGCTTCTAAGTTGTAGAAAAATCCTATTAAGATATTAAGAAAGATGTAAGGAAGATCCCAGGTGTTCTGCTGGGAGCCACTGCTGGTGAGCAGTAGCTGCATTCCCAGTGTCCTGCACTGTCTCTGTCCTCTTGGGGATGGACTGCTGCTTTAGCCAAGGTGCAGGACGTGAGGATGAAGATGTGCTGGAATAGTTCTCAGGGTGCCTCTGCTCTTCGTCTTGAGCAGAAGACCACCCTTCTGCTACAGCTGGAGTGGACAGATGGACACAGGGACTCCTCATTTCCATCTGAATCACCACGCAGTGGTAGCCTGCTTGTCCAGCCAGCGAGTGTGCCTGCTGTAGTGCAGCTCCTAGTTTATTTTTATGAAAATCCAAATTGTTTGATTTGTTCTTTTTTCTTCCAAATTCTAATGCCTGAGCAGCTGAGCTTATAGCTGCTAACTCTCCTTACGAATCAGGGTTTGCTCAAAACCAACCTGCACTGTTGACTACTTCCACTTTGCAGTAAGAGCGTTTTCCTATTGATTAAAGTGTTTTGTCAAGCTGCTGCTTTTGCTGCCCAGGCTTGTTTTTCATACTGCCTCTATATCTGTTGGGGAACATAAATAGCAAGCAGCAGTAAAAGGCAGCTCCGAACATTCAGAGACATGTATCATGCTCTATCACTTTGTTCTGAAGGGAGAGCTTGTTGCTCTACTTTTAAATCCTTGAATCCAACATCAGTGTATCTAACAAAGATAATGCAGCCTGATTCAATAGACTGTAAGCATTTAAAACAAAGCTCTGACATAGTATAGGTAAGCATAGCCACCAGTCACTTTTTGAACTAGTCCCCACAGCCCCCAGGGGCCTCTTGCTGAGCATCTCTGCGGGCAATTGTGGGTTCAGGTGCTATAGTGTTCTTCTCCCTGTATTCTCTGTTGGGTTCAGTTTGACAGAGAACCATAAAGCATGCCTTACTGCATGCCTGCCCAGTTGTTCTGGTTTCCAATTCAATGAAGACCTTTCATTATCTCCTTCGGGCCTTTTAAACTATGATGGAGGTAAGTGGAGATGCTCTCATTGTTCTATGGAGAGAGTCTTTATACCTAGCACAGCAGCATACAAAAAATTATTAGTGTCTTGGGTTGTATCTTGAGTATTGTCCTAAGAGATGGAAGTAGTAGATATTATTTCTACAGCAGGGGTTGGGGCTGGGTGGGCTGTGAGATCCCAAAGTATTCTGTGATTCTATCAATTTTCAAAATATCTTGTGGATAATTAACACCAATTCAGGAAATAAGCCTGCATTTTTTAGTTTGAAAGATATGATGGTGTTAATTGGTGTTAGATTAACTTACTGTGAACATGTTTCTTTGTCTAGATTGTAAGCTATGGGCGTGACACAGGATAATTCGTAATGGAACTTTTTATCTTTTTATGGGGGTATAAGGAAACTTATTTTTAAAGAATAAATGTGTTTTTGTGCATTTGAGAACCAGTTGGTTATAAAATACCCTTGGTTAGCTTTTTTTTTTTTTTAATTCCTTTGAAGAAATGGTCAAAAGTTTTGTTCCACATCATTCAGCTGAAATTTATTTAGGTAGTATCTGATTGTGCAATTCACAATATCCTGCTTACATTCCATTTGGCTATAGATTGATCTCTGTAGAAGAGAGACACTACCTATCTGTTGCAGAATGGGAAAGGATCCCCAGATTCCTTGCTATTTTTTATACCTGATTGTGTTTGTGTTATTGTATCCATAATGCACATATAAAATAGATTTGCATTTAGAAGCATAGCACTTTTGCTTTACTTCGAGATATTCTAATTTCCATTCTCAGGGCAGAAAAATAAGCACAAAGTTAGATGTTTCAAAAGTAGGGATGAAATGAAAGTGTATGGTGTGGGATTTGTGGGGAATTTTGATGTATAGGTTTGCTTCTTAAAAAAATATAGGCAGATGTTCCCACTGTCTGACTTTCCACAAAAAGGGATCAGATTTATTGAGGTGGAACATTTCATTTCAGTGGAGATGTTTCCTTTTCTGCTTCTGTCCTCTCCTCCTATCTGTTTGAAGCATACATTAAACCTGAGATTTGTGTCTGAATTCTAGCATGGCAGTGTTCTTTATGTTTGAAGACCCTTGTACATTTTGAATAGCCCGAGATTGTTCTCTCCCTTATACCAGGGTCTATAGCTGATCCTTCAAATTGGTCTTTGCAGTCAATGCAACATTAACTGCTTCCCTGAAGTAGTTCTGCATCTTGGGAGGTCAAAAAGCTGATGAGGACTTGGTGGAGCAACTTGTTAAGGGCAAAGCAGTACTTTCAAGTTTAAGTTTCTTCCACAAGTCTTGTCCCACAGAGAGTAAAACAAACAAACAAAAAAAAACCAAACCCAAATACCACTAACAAGGAATTTTGGGAAGGAAGCCTGCATAGCAGTTGTTTCTTTTCCTCTGCTTCTGAATCCTTCTAATTTTTGACTGTGCTAGAGATATAAATGGTTTCCCTGCTGCTTGTGATTCATCCTAACATCAGTGTGTGCACCAGAGACATGCTGATTGTATAATTTCCACTAGATTACCATAACCAGCTTGGATGTACATATGAGTGCCGTGTCCTTTTACGCCCTAGAAAATGCATCCTTAGAAGGTCCATCGCACTGACCCTCAGCCTCCATCAGTCTCTCCTCTATATGTTTTGTCACTTATACACTCAGGTTCCAGCTTGCTTGCCCTATTTGGGCAGTGCTCCCCTTTACTGTTCCCCAACAAAACCCTCCGGGCTGAGGGGCGTTGGGAAGAGATGGTGGCTGAAACAGCAGGGACAGGAGCAAGATTTTTAATTTGTATGGTTCTCAGTTGAAGGAGGAAACTTTTTTGTGTGTGATAGTTGATAAGCAAGATGGAAATTGTAAGCAGAAGTAAGCAATGAGAAGAGGAATTGTTTTTTCTCATCAGTTTTTCAGGAACAGAAAAAGGAATTAATTCTGTGCAGACTAAGAAGTACAGTCTTGCAGCTCCTTGTGTACTTCCATGGCTTTTTTCATAGTTTCTGAAAACAATTACTTCACCAATCAGATGTTTGTTAAGTGTTCTTTTGGGATTTTCATAGCACTGTTAGTTGACTTTTTCAGTTACCTCAGTCAAATTAAAAAGAAATTCTTCTCCTAGATCTATCACCGGGGGAAATCATGTGCAGCACTTCATAAGTTTTTTCTTTTTCTTTCATGCAATGTCTCAAGTCTTTTGAAGTTTGGAAGTTAAACCATAACATTGTTCTCTGCATTGTTTGATGCCGTCTTACTGGCTTTCATCCAGCTATTTTGAAGAGTGCACACTGAAGCTGTGTTTTCTGTAAGTGTGGATACGTTGCTACCTTTTATACTTGGATGACTTTTTATACTTTTATTTTTTGAGAGGGCATTTTGCATTTTCTGGTAGGATATATAATAGTCTTCAAATTCAGGTCTTCATTTTAAATAGATGGCTATTGTCTCTTGATGTCTATTTAGCTGAGAAGCTGAATAGTATCTTGCATCTCTCACAGTATAGTTTTAAAACATACTAGTGTCCAACTTCTGCTTAGTTTTAGTGGCATGACCGGTGTGTGTGAGCACAAGAAGGAAGTAATTGGTGTAATTATTTTTGCTTTTGGAAGGTTTTCTACACTGTTCCATGTGGGATTCTTATACCTCCTAGACAAGAAAGTTGCTGCAATGCTATTTTGTTGTGCTGTTCTCAAATTTCTGTGTTTTTTTTTTGTCCGAGTGAGGTGGTATTTCAGAGTAGGACTTTGTAGGTCTCATTTTATTGTTTCCATTAATCACTTTCATGATGGACTGGTAAACACAGTTATAAAGGGCTGGCAAAACTTCTAGGGACTGAGAACAATTCATTTTGTTTTGGATTGATGGTGAAAGAGCAAAAATATAACAGTAAATACAGTGTTTTGGTTGGAAAAGTTAAATGTGTGAAGGGAAAATGTAGCTTTGCATTGTATTTAAATCAAGTGCCAATTTACAATGGGATACTGCTGCAAGCCTATTTGGGTACAGTTGCGGGCATGCAAAATACAGGAGGTGGTTTTCCATTCTTCATACAGCTGAGAACTCACTATTAGCAAACATTGTGTCCGGTTTTGAGTGTTATGCTTAAAGATTAGCTCGAGAGCAATGAAATGTTTGAAAACTATGACCTCTGAGGAAGAGATGAGTCAGCTGGGGTTCATTTGGAACAAGAGAAATTGTGAAACAGTGGCAAATTATGTTGATGCTTTTTGAGTTTATCGAGTGTTAACATCAAAAACTTTGGCCAATTACTTTTGTGTTCTGGGGAGCAGGATTTGTTTCCAGAAGGAAGGTTTAAGTTTGCGGTGGTTGTTTTGTTTGTTTGTTTTTGCTGTAAGAATACATCCTGACACTGTTGGTAGCAGTCTGTTGGGGAGGCGGTTGCACCTTGGTTGTGGGAGGTTTTGAAGAACAGGTTAGACAAATACTATTTATGGCACAGGTTCTTCTATCCAGCTTGAGAACGGGGGCTGGAACAGTAATTTCTTTGGGCTCCCTCAGGTCTTCACCGTAGTTCTGTGATGATATACATATACATGAGGCAGAACCAGAAGCACAAAATACTTCTTATGTGTTTGATCGGCTAATCTGGTTTACATCTTGCATTTTGAGTAACTGCAAGTTGCAGCTTAAAACGTGGGCAGAACTGTTATCGTCATGTTCCATGTTTTGATTTTCTGGTTTTAGATGTGGAAAGACTTGCAGGCTTCAGAACTGGTGGCATGGTGCTAATGCTCTTTTCTCCCACTTTTCTCTTTGCATGATTGCAGGTCGCTTGGTGGGTGCCCTGGATGCTGTTCTGGATTCCAATGCACGTGTTGCTCCCTTCAGAATCTTACTGCAAGTCCCAGGCTCACAGGTTTACTCTGCCATTGCATGTGGTGAGTTATTGAACGGATCAGAAGTTTACTGGGCCATAGCTATTGGTGAGTCACATACAAAAAAATTCTGAGCATGCTCAGCATCTGCATGTCCGAGAAACTCAAGGTAACCCCAGCTGGCTGTGTGCAGGTGTGAAGCTCTTGGCTACAGCTCATGTTAACTATCTAATTAACCTTCAGTTAGAATCCCAGGTACTGATTGTGAAAAAGTGCTAACTAGGGAAATGTTTCAATAGGAAGCTTGCTTAGGTGAGGTTGTTTTCCATTATTTTTTTGTCTCTTGCGAAGTGTTGTGATTCAATTCATATGCATATCTTTTTGTATGGTAGTCATAGTTGCTTACAGAAAGAAACTGTGTAATCTTGGCTTTCATCTGTCTTGTCTTTTGCTCACTGCCTGTGAAATATCTTACAACACTTGATTATAATGAAATATAACTTGGACACTTAGAAAATGCTACCTGAAGTAGGTAATAAATAGAGTTGTCAAGGAGAATGTCTAATAGCTGGGTCTGCTGTGCACTAATCCATTTTACAGTGTTTCTGCAACTTTTGAAAGTCAAACCCATCTTCAGGAAATTGATATGGATGTAAATTGCAGCAGCCTTACTGGGGCATGTTAAATGCCAGTGTTTAAACTCATTCTCTCCTTGCTTAAGCAGTTTGCAGGGCAGTTCTCATCTTTTTTCCACTCTCTGAAATCTTAGCATTGAAATTGACAGCACGTGTTTTGCTTTTGTTTCTTACATGGATCAAGCCATGAAATAGTTAGCCAAGGTAAATGTTGACATGTTGTTGATGATTTTTGATATTGCAGTCCTTCAAATGAAAGAGGCCATCTGTTTATTCACTCCCAAAAGTTTTTTATATTAAAGCAACTACAACTCAAAAGCTTGTCTGGTTGGAACAGTTAAGGATTTTGCTGAGATAAACTAATTTGATTACTGTTCTCTAAAATTCTCTTTTGCTTTCTTAAATGAATACTCAGCACTGAGAAAATGAGATTTGCAGTAATGAGGTGGAAGGCAGAGGGATCTGTTTTGTATGCCATAAGGGCATGACGCGTACGCCACTGTGAGAGCTGCACAGAAATTAAGAACCATGGTAGCAGGAGCTGTTTCTGAATAATATCTCTGTTGTGAAACCCTGAAGTGAGTGGGGAGTATGGGCTTTGGCAACAGCAGATGGAGGAACAGCACGACCTGACCCTTTTCTTAAAAAGCCGGAGCTCCACAAGGGACTTTTTTCTCCCCAAGGCTGCAGAAGTGGCTGTCACTGGTTGCCCAGCTCTGCCCTGGCTGGGCTGTTTGCTCTGTGCAAACAGGGTTTTGTTACTGGATTTGGATGGAGCAGCAGGTCAAATTAAGTTCCTGCTATGTAGCAAAGACAAGGAGCAGCTCCAGCAGCTCCTTTCAGTCTCCCGGTGTAACTGCATTAGGGATAACCATCATATCATTAGGCAGTTAATTAAGATGACATTTTCCAATTGTACGTTGGCGGTCCTGTGCTCCAGGAGCTGTAGGATGAAATTATAATTTATGCATAAGGGTCATATCTGTGTTACAGACTTTTGCAAATCTCTGAGGGCTGCTGGGAAGTCTGATCCATGCCCAGCATGCCTGTTCTGGCAGAGATGTTTCAGTCCAGATGGCTAATCATCTTATACCACTACAGGGAAAAAAAAAAATGCCTGACCTCAGGCTTTGTCTCCATCCATGTAATACTTCAGAAGACTTGTGGGCAAAGGAGAACCACAGAGATCAGCCAAGTGAGTTATCTTTGATTTTCCAAGAGACAACCCACAAGCCCACCTGTACAGTTGGTATCTTTTTGTTTGCCCAGGCGTAGAGAACCAACTCAGTATTTTCTTTGTGCAGCCATTTCAATATAAGCAAAATATTTTTTCACATTTCATATAAATGAAGTATTTTTCTGGTGTCCTTAACAATTGATATGATTTGTTTCCCGTACAAAAAGGTCATTTGAGTTTCTCTTCTTTCTTGATTTTTTTAAATTTTTTTTTTAGGTATCTAACCTTGATTAATGATATTTATGAAGTTCCATCACAAGACCTTCCTGTCAAGGAAGTTAAAGCTTGGAAAGTTTCCCTGCCAGTTGGCATTCTTTATGGAAAACAGAGCAGAGGAGAGTGGAAAATTCATAGCTCAGTTTGTCTTTGTTGTTGTTGTTGTGAGGCAATGTGATGCATTTCTGAGGTACACACAAATACAATTTTGAGACAAGTTTTCTGTCTGAGATTGATTTTATAAGTATATTCCTCTATGCTTTATATGTCTCTAATGTCAAATTACTTTTCTCCTTTCTTTCATAAGTAAGGCATAAGAAAAGCAACTGTGGCTGCACTCTTTTTTACATATAACATTTAACCATTGACCAGTAAGGTCTAGAGTGGCCATATTTTCCCTTAATTGTCCTCTGTGTCAACTCTCTTGCTCTAACTCTCCTGTCATAATGATAAGCAGTTCAGTTTCAAGCAGAAAGAGCCAAAACAAATAGGCAGTGTAATGACTGAAATATTATTTCTGGACTTAGAGTGAACACATTACATTTGAAAATCTTTATTATTCAATGATTTTTTTGTTCACTGGTTTTCACCCCTAAACCTTGAAAAGATGCTCTTGCAGACCCTGTAGGTGTTGTTGAATCCAGCTCCTTCATTTTTAGGTTCTTTAGTGATTACAAACAACTCTTCAAGTAGGATCATGTCATGTATGCATGCATGTGTGGCAAGTGTGTGTGTGTGCACGTGCATACGAAGGGAGAAAGGGCAGTCAGGGACTTCTGTGAATAAGACATATTACAATATAACAGTGGTTTACAGTAGCTGCTTATAGAATGCTGTGTCAAAATAAGCTGTCTTCTAACAGACCAGTAAGAGGTTTTGCTGGTTTTTCTGCTTTGACTTTTAATGCAGCATTTGCTGGCTGAGAATGTTTGAGAAGATAAAGATAAAAGCACTAAAACTATTTTCCTAAAACAATGAGTTTTTTTGTTTTTCTCTAAGTGTACTGTTACAAATTAGACCTTTTTGTCCTGTTTGCTATCAAAAGTTCTGAGGTTGAAAGTTCAGTTTCTCAAAGTGAACTTAAGTAATAATGCATTTTATTACTTTCAGTTTTTTCTTCCTTTCAACTTTATTTTATATGTTGAATTTTAATTCATTGCTTTTTACCTTTTTAGGTGCCACTGCCGAGGAGATAAATCAGCACTGGGAATGGCTGGAACAAAACTTGCTCCATACTTTGTCTGTTTTTGACAATAAAGAAGATATTGTTAGTTTTGTCAAGGGGAAAGTAAAGGTAGGGAAACTGTCTTACTTTTGTCTAATTAGTTGCAGGAAGTTATTCATATTTGTCTTTTTTCATCTTAATACTGTTTTTTAAGTTGTGTGCTGATCCAGCTGATGTTCATCCTGAATGCTGTTAATCACCAAATCTGCCACATTTTTCTTGTTCATGTTTAATTATTTTACTTCTGCTTATCTGTAGTCTTACTGATTTGTTTCCATGCAGACTTGTAAGAAGCAAGAAAGTGTTTATGCCATTGTATTTTCACACAATGACTCTATAGGTAGTGGTTTCTTGTAGAGCAGTGACTCCTAGGTCTTCTTTTGGCTAAGTCTCACTATTGGCTTGGCAGTGCTGACTGTGCCTCCAAGGGAGCAGGAGGACCTCCTGTCTGAGCAGGCTCCTCACTGGTGGTCTTATCCATGACATGACTTCTAAACCGAGTTCACCTTGATTTGATGCGAGATGTAAAATATCTTTTCTGTCACACAGTCAAAAGGATGCCAGGCATTTGACCAGTTTCTGTGTGATGGTTAGAGAAAAGTTATGACCTGTTGCTTTTCCAGTAAGCATTAGCAGTCAGAGTGGCACAACCTGCTGCCACGTGGACAATGAGATTGTCTCCAGTGCACAGAGACAGCTGTCCTCTGGTGCAGAGCTGGCCTCTACCCAGCGAGCTGGAGCTGTGAGGCTGTTGTTCTGCTCTCTTGGACTCTCCTCCTAAGGATTCGGCATGGAAATCACCCTGGGCTTTGCAAGGTGTCAACATCATGGCCAGTGACTGCACTGATGCCTCTGGCTAGCTGCTGGGTGTCTGAATGGGCATCTTTTTAGAAGGGCAGAAGTAGAATTTTAAGGATAGAGCAGTTAGGTGATGAGGAGCATATCTAAAATAATAACAACACGTGCATTGAAACTTAAAAAGCTTGGCATTCTGTGCTCTCCTTCTAATAAAACACACGCTCCAAGGGCTGGCACTGGTGAAGTCTGCTGGGGACCACTGTAACTGAGATCTTGCTGCAGCCTTCTCCTCAGTAAGAATGATGCTCTGCCCCCATATCCACTGTTTTGGTCTGGAAAATTGGTGGGAATGTAACGTTTCTGACAAATTTCAACCCTGCTGCTGTGATCTCAGTGGTTTCTGAAACAGGGAAGGAAGCACAACACATCACTGCATAAACCTTAGCATTTATCTTGCTTTTTTTAAAGAGCAATTTTGATGTGCTGCACCTTGCTGAAAATTTAAACTTGCTGTGCCTGCTTCTGTTCGTGGTGCAGAGGCCTCCTGGCACAGATCACATATTTAAGTGCACTGACAGGCTCAAATAAAATTAATCTCTGTTGATAATGTTGTGGCAGCTGATTGCCTAGCATGGGGAATATTTAAAATTCTTCAGGTTTCATTACTTAATGTTAAACTCAGGTGCTGGACTTTGTCCTCTGGTTAACTCATTTGTTGTAACATCACTGTTAAAATCCTCAACATTGAATTATATCCATGGAGATGTTCTTGAAATCACATGTTTAGTAGTTCAGAACGTGTTACAACTTACTGACATCTTACTGCATGGCTTCTTTGTAGGAGAACAGAACTGATCATCATACAAAACTGTTATTGTATCTTTGCTCTGTATGCAGTAGAACCCAGTGATCATGAACTGTAAGTAGGTGATTTTGCCAGACGTACTGAAAAAGTAAAAGAAAAACAGGCAAAACCAAAATAGAACAGTGGTGACAACGATGACAACAAAAACACACAAAAAAACTCCAAAACACAGAACACCCCACAAACAAAATCCCAGGAAAAACCAAAACTGGGTGTCGTGATCTGGAAGCGTTCAGAGTGTATGAGAGATGCATCCGTTTGTGAAAATGGCAAATCAGCTTGAATTTCTTCTTTCAGAAGGAGTTGTGTTATTAAAATCTGAATGGTAAACTTGTAGTAACTTGCTTGAATGGGAATACTGTAGGTTTATCATCTGTTATCTTCTTATTGAATCAGGCACTGATTGCAGAGGAAACAAGCAGTAAGCTCGCTGAGCAGGAGGAAGACCCTGAAAAGTTCCGAGAAGCCCTGGTGAAATTTGAGTCCAGATTTAATTTTCCTGAAGCAGAGAAGCTGATCACCTATTATTCTTGTTGCTGTTGGAAAGGAAAAGTTCCTCGGCAAGGCTGGCTTTATTTGAGTATCAATCATCTCTGTTTTTATTCCTTCTTCCTGGGCAAAGAATGTAAGTGTAAATATGTAAGAAATCTAGCACTGTGGAGAGAGATAAACAGAACTGCTTTGAAATGCAAAAAGAGTTGGGATTTTTATGAAAAGTGTAATTCTTCCCTGAGATTTTTATTATTCAGATGAAAGATCCTGTTTAATTTGGGTTTTACTTCTTCCTTTGTTTATATTTTAGCATTAATCTGGTAATAAAAATGAGAACACGAGTTTGCAGTCACGGTTACTCTCCAGTCCTTTATTTTTTATTTTTTCCTTCTTCATGTGAAGCAGGCTTAAAATGTACCAGACCTCCTGCAGCTTCAACAGCTGGTTTTAGTGCTGCAAACAGTCAGCTGAGAGCTGATGGGAGCACATCGCCGCCAGCACCGCTGAGCGTAGGGTCGGGCGGTGAGGCAGGAAAGGAAGTGCTGCCTGGGGGAGAGAGCACCGTGCTAGGAGTGCGTGAGGCTGCTGTGAGGCTGAAAATAGAACAGGAAGCACAGCAGTGACACTGCTGCTGCCCTGAGTCCTCACCATCCTGCTGTAGTGAGCACGGTAGTATGGACCTACACTGCTGTGACTATGACAAGAATTAGACAGCGATTAGGAAAGCTGTACCATTTACTGGTGCAAATGTAGGAAAGATAAGAGATAGGAAGTGGTGATTGTGAAAACTTGGAATCATAGAATGGGTTGGGTTGGAAAGGACCTTTAAGATCACCTAGTTCCAACCCCCTGCTATAGGCAGGAACACCTTCCGCTAGACCTGGTTGCTCAAAGCCCCATCCAGCCTGGCCTTGAATGCTTCCAGGAAGGGGGCTTCCACAGCCTCACTGGGTAACCAGTTCCAGTGTAAAGAATTTCTTCCTGATTATATAGTCTAAATCTACCCATTTCCAGTTTAAAGCCATTTCCCCTTGTCCTGTTGCTACATGCCCTCATAAAAGTTCCTCCCCAGCTTTCCTGTATGCCCCCAACTTAAAGCACAGAAAGACATGCCTTGAGTTAGGGGTCCTTTTTCTTCATACTTTGTTTCATGCCAGTTATTTTGTCATATCTGCAAAAGGTGGCAGGCAGAGTTAGATTTAAAATACTGTTATGCCTTGTAAATACAGAAGCTGAATTTTGTCTGGAAGACTGTAGCAATGTTTCTAGATATCTGGGTCCTCAACTGATCTTCTTGTTTTCTGTTTAGTGTCAAACAGTATGTTTTGTGATTTGTTGCTGCTTGCTGTCATTGCAGGTTTTCTCTCATTAAGCACAGATATCCAGTCTGCCAAAGCTGGCAAAGCAAAAATTACACTTATTAATGATAGATAATGGGGGAAGGAGGAAGCAGAGATAAAAATCCTTCGTACTGTTCCAAAAGTTTTGTTTCTGCAATATCACAGATCATTAAATGATACTTGAAGTACAATCTCACACTGTATTCTTTAAGAAGAAATAACTTTTTTTTTAATAATAACTCATTGTGAAAATGCAAAAAACAAACAAACAGAAAACCCAACAAACACAAAACCCAAAACAACAACAGCCCAACTTCAAATAATTAGTTTGTGACCTTTCATTTTGAACATGGAAAATAGGCTGTTTGTTCACTGTTACAGTCAATGGCATCACCTTTGTGGTTCACATGTGAAAGAGTAAAATAAAAAGAAATTGTAAGTCCTATATGTTGAAATGCTATCTAGCTCCCTGGTTCTGATAAAGATCATTGCTTCTCCTTGAAACCTGGGATTTTGTCATATTGATGAAATGCTTGTATTACACTGAATGTTCAGATTTGCTGTAGCTATATTTGCTTTTCTTTGAGAGGCTGCTGCTGATCATAAATAGAACAAATGGTTCATTGTCTTTCCTTTTTTCAGATAGCAGTCACAAATCTGGCTAATTCCGGTCTAGCAAATATTGCTAATAAATTGCATTTATTGCATTATTTCCCATCTTCCTGGGGAAAAAAAAAGAAGAGTTTCAATAGAAATAGCTCTTTTATGTGTTTTAACTCTAAAAATTCCGCCAAATTGGAGTTTGAAATCTCTTTACAGTAGAAGTGTTAAGTCTTCAGCTTCTGGCAAGCCTGTTGCCTTCTCCATGTTTTATTTTTTGTTGAAATGACTTGGAATGCAGTACTGGAACCTGTTTTCAGCTTGTCATAAGATTTATGTGAGCATAGACTACATGGAACATATTTTCAAGACAAGTCTCCTTTTAGCTAAGTTTTTAAAGTATTTTAAAGTATAAATCTGTAGGATTTGCCTGTCAGGTTTCTTGCAAGGACATGCCAGGGTTTCTTTACATTTTTTAGTTACACTTTTGTTTTGCTAAAACTTTGAAGACTTTGTACCTTTGCGTCAGAAGTCGGGGCCTATTGCAGTCTGCTGTTTCTGTGACAAACACTGCGCAGCCTATTTGCTCCTGACCTGCCTGAACAATAGTGCTATTGCTACAGCACTCTTTAATCTTTCTTCCCTTGGCTGTACCGATGCAGATGACTTTGTGGCCATTTGCAGCAGTTTGTGTGTGTTGACGCAGCTGTGCTTTATTTAAGTAAGAAAAACGTTAACCTGCAAATAATCTCGACAGCTGCGGTTCTTTTAATACAGAAAACTTGCTGAAGGTGGCTGCTTATATAATTAACTATTGTGGATAAGTGTCATATATACATGACAATGCTTGTTATTACTGCCTTTTATTACTTTATTGGCATCAGGAGACCAGCTAGGGGATGTTAGGAGATGTAGCTTTCATGTTTCTTGGCACATAGAATGCTGGGAAAAATCCAACAGTTAAGTAGAAGTTTAATCTATTTTAGAGTTCTTTCCAGACTAATTTCTACCCGGAGATTCGTACTAGAGGCAAGTAATGTCTTTTAGTGGCTGTCTAAAATAAGCCGATTCTTTTCTTTGTATTTATATGATTTGACAGAGTATTTGCGTGTAGAGAACTGTGTCTTGTACTTTTTCTTTTCTGTAAACAACTTAAAATGCATTTAATGTTTATGGCAAAACTTGCCAGTGCATTTTTTAAGTAAAAAGTAACCAGAACAGGAAGATCGCAATATCTAGGTGTTTTTCTTTGACACCCTGTTTATAGTAGTATGTAAACCTTACAAAAGAAATTAATGTACAAAAACGTATTTTTCAGGGGAGTTACCTTTATTTTAATTTTAAAATACCGTGTATGTAATTGGAATAGGTTTTCCAACTGCCTAGGTTTCCCAACTGCCTAAAACTTTACTTTTGCAAAGTTACAAGCCCTATTCCTTTTTTTCCTCCCTACTCTTGAAATCCAGTATTTCTTTTGGTAGTAATGAAGGCTGCAGAAATTCTTCTTCTAAACTTCTTTACTTCTAAAGAAAGTAAAACAAAGGTTCAGTAGAGACAGGGCTCCTCAGTCTTATGTTTCTTAAGAAGAAAGATGAAATTATGAGGGAGAGATTCTCAACAAGACAGTCTGTTGAAATGAGGGAGAACAAATGTATAGTAATATCAAGCATTTCATCTTTTCCTTGGTCTTTGTAAAGATTAGCTTATCTTCTTTGCTGTTTGAATTTCCTGAATTTATGTATTTTTCAAATATGAGCAATTTAAACAAGAATTTCTAATTCACTTTTGGTCTTTCTGCAATGGCAGTGAAACTCATCATTCCTTGGGTTGAGGTCCAGAAGCTGGAGAGAACCTCCAATGTCTTCATGACTGACACGGTCCGTGTCACCACACCAAATAAAGAGCGTGATTTCTCCACGTTCCTCAATATCGCTGAGGCATTCCGGATCATGGAGCAGCTGGCAGATGTAACTCTTCGAAGGCTACTGGATAACGAGATCTTTGAGCTGGATCCAGGCTTACAGGATCCTACTCAGATTACCAAGAGGTGAGAAGCAAAACTGATCTTCCATTGTGTGAGCAGAGGTTCAAAAGTGGATTTTCTGGATTGCATTCTTAGCTGGGTAAGGCTTTAAAGGTTTACTTGACGGGGCAAAAAAACCCACATGAATTTTACAACGTACTGCAGAGTATCAAATCATTTTAATTTGTGTGCAAGATACTGTTTTTTCCATTTTTACTTTCTTCACTGTTTTTTTGTAGTAATGCAAATGAGAGTAAGGGATATTTTCTGTCATTCCTGAGGAATGGCATTCCTTTGTTGATAAGATCAATAGTGTATAGGCTTTTCTAGTGCTGACAGTTCTGTAGAATGGTAGCTTATATATGGAATCTCCCACTAGGAGGATTGCCATAGCTGACTTAGCAAGCATTTATAGAACCCAAAAACAGACAGGCTGTTGCAACAGATTAATGTGCTGATGTCAGCTCTGCACACTGCATCCCTGAAATGCATCTGTGCATTCCTCTCCCACTGCAGAAATGCACTGAATGCTCAGGGAGAAGATTGATAACTATTTTTCTGCCAGTAGTATAAGACAGAACTTTGTGTTTATTTTCTGGTATGTGAAAGGGGAAGAGAAACTGCAGGGAGGAATTTTAGGTGGGCACAGTGTAATATCCAAAACTGAAATTTGCCTGGGGCATCAATGTTAATGTGCTTGTCCATAATGTATGTTTTCTGAGTGGAGTTTGTTTGGAGTGCTGATAACATTTCCTGCTCTTCTTTCCTGTCCTCCTGCCAGAGTTACAAGGGGAATTACCCAGGTGTTGCTTCCAGAGCGAAATGTAGAGAATGCAGTGTTGTTTCCCAACAAATAGAAACATGTCCAGTAGCCATTATATTGTTTTTTGGGTGGCATTTTTGCAGTGATATTGGATATACGTCTTAGGGAAACAGTTGTGCAAAGTTTAGTATTAAGCTTTTAAAGTCTTACTGTTTTAAAACTGCTTAAAGCATGAAGACGATAGAGGTTCTCTCTAGCTTTCCCTTTAATTTCCTATGTACACACAATAAGGGAAGTGACTGACATCAGGATTTCATCCATGATACCATCAAGCAGTTCATTGGAGTTGTTTGTTAGAGTGATACAGTGGTGAGCAGCCATGAACTTCCTTACAGGCTTTTTTTTTTCATAGCCAGGACTGCTCTAAACACAAAGGCTGTCATTGTTTTTCACTGTGTGTGTGTAACTGGATATTGTTAACATTATGGGCTTTTTGCCCAAGAAATGTAGTTTATGTCCTTTGACTAATGTAGAATATGACTTTGAGTAATAGGTTGTATTGAAACCCGTTTCCATGCTTTACAATTCCACCACCCTGCTTTTGGGCTGAAAAGTTAGATCCATAAAACAAGGGAAGTAAACCCAAAAGAAGTGTAACAATCCACGGGAGACATTTTCAGCGTCTACTGATTTTTAACTCTTGACTGTCTCTTCTCAAAGGAGTTTTTGTTTCAAATAAATGAACAGAATGAAAAGCGAACAAAAAGAAAACAAAGAGGCCCACCAACCTAAAATGACAATTAGAGGCTTAATAAGATCCTATAATACGGGGCTCTTGGTAAATCAACCTCTATGTACCTTGTGGGATTTTTGGAATGTGGTGTATCTATTAGCAAACAAGTAACAGAAACCATCCCACACATTTATTCAAACATTTTTTTTTTCTTCTTCCTTTCAACTTTAAAAACAAACAGAAAAACCACACATGCACACACACACACGAAACAAAAAAAAAAGAAAAAGAGGAGAGGGAGGAGAAGAATGGAAGGGAGTAGGAAAATACAATTGATTCCTGAGCAAGATGTTCTCTTAACCATGCTGATATGCTGTAACTTGAGATGGCAAAAATGAGAATGTGGAAGATGCTGAAATCCCATTTCCTCTGTGTGATTTAGAGAGGTAGTAGTTGGATGAGCTGCTGTTTCTGGTGCCCTTTGTCACAATTCAGCAAACACTTTGATGTGATGTGATTAAGCAAGACTGCAGTTAGAATAGTAGATAAACTGGTTTTTAATGCTAACGTGTTTTGGGGGGTGAACTTCTTTGGTGTGTGAGGTTTTTGTTGCTGCTTTTTTTCTTTTTTCCTGGAACCATTGTAGTACTACAAGAACAATTATTTTCCACTTGACATTTTTCCCTAATAATTGTCTTTGTTATTTCTTGTGCGTGATTAGGAAGCACATAGTAGTCTATCAAAGTGAAAGCAGTAATCCACGCATCATTGAAGTTATTCCTGCTGTGTCAAATTAATGCTTTATATTTCTTTTGTTTGCTAGGATTTCTTTTACAAGAAGCTCATCACAATGTCTTTGTGTATAAAATGCATTTGTCACTATGGCCTATATACGTTCTAAAAAACAGCAATCTTTGATGCTTTCCCTGAGGCCCTTGGGGTCATCCTACCGAGCATGGATGAGACTCTGAGAGGTTGGAGGATTAGACCTGCAGTCTGTGACACCAGTTGTATCAAGACCAGAATCAAACAAGTCCATACGCAAGTTTTAGTGCTGCCTGGTGAAAGGATAAGGCTAGGAACAATGGATTACATGGGGATTAATAGCAATTAAATTAATTGCCATAAAAAGTGAAGTAAAGCAGAGGTGTTTGACAACTGTAAGTGCCATTTCTTGCAGATGTATTCATATGCACCATAAAATTTTATTAGAACACGTCATAAATATTTTTCTTTTCCAGAAGGAAGGTCACTAAAATCTCCAGTATAGCTTTATTGTATTTCTTATTTCCATCTCTTCCAGGATGTAAGGATATTCATCACATTCTTCAAACGTAATGAGGAAATTGGTCAGAACACATGACTTAAAAGCTCTAGTGCTTCTGTCAGTAAGGTTTCAAAAATGTAATACATTTTTCCAGGCCTGATTTCTTTTCTTCATGTCTAACACTGGATTTCTAGGGAGGATGAATTTGCTTTGTATGAGAGCAAACAAGGTTTTTAATACTGACCTAAGGTGAACAGAAACTGAAGTATCTTGAATTGTAAATGTCACTTCAGTGTGCATTGATTCTAGGAACACCATAAACCTGGAGGAAAACAGAAGATGTGACAAGGAAGAATCTCATTTTATTCATCTGCTTGGCAGAAGGCAGGGTTTGGATTATCTCTGCATGTCATTCCTGACAGATGATTGCCTAATACATTTTAAGAATTTCCAGTAATGGCAGTGCTAGAGCCCATAGTGGTAATTCACTGCCCTACCATTGTTTGGAAGGGCTTTCTTGAAGTCTCTTGGAACTTTCTTGCAGGTTTTTCAGTCTAATACTTCTTATCCTATCCATTACAATGGAAGAGATCAAATGTTTCTCTTTAGAGCAACCATTCTATATTTGGAGAGTACTGTGCAGCAGGTCGAGGGAGGTGATCCTCCCCCTCTACTCTGCCCCGGTAAGGCCTCATCTGGAGTACTGTGTCCAGTTCTGGGCTCCCCAGTACAAAAAAGACAGGGATCTCTTGGAAAGAGTCCAGCAGAGAGCCACAAAGATGGTGAAGGGCCTGGAGCGTCTCTCCTATGAGGAAAGGCTGAGTGAGCTGGGTCTGTTTAGCCTTGAGAAAAGAAGACCGAGAGGAGACCTGATCCAGGTCTATAAATATCTAACGTGTGGGGGGCAGAGTGGCGAGGCCGGACTGTTTTCAGCAGTGTGTGGAGACAGGACAAGGGGAAATGGCTGAAAACTGGAGCATAGGAAGTTCCGCACCAATGTGCGCAAGAACTTCTTTACGGTGAGGGTGACGGAGCACTGGAACAGGCTGCCCAGGGAGGCTGTGGAGTCTTCTTCTCTGCAGATATTCAAGACCCACCTGGACGCCTACCTGTGCGACGTGGTGTAGGGAACCTGCTTTGGCAGGGGGGTTGGACTCGATGATCTCTGGAGGTCCCTTTCAACCCCTACAATTCTGTGATTCTGTGATCTCCTCTTACTTCTGTCATCTGCACTACTCTGGTTTATCCAGATGTTTGTTACCCATCTTGTCTTTAGCTCCTCTGGTAGCTCCTCTCTGGACATTTTCCATTAATCCCATAGGCTGCAGGAGTGCAATGGCAGGGTGCAGGAGTATCCCCGACCCGCCACAACCCCAGGTCTTCTCTGCTGCCTCTTGGGAGCTGAAAGCTTCCCTGTGCTGCCTGGTGTGGTGATACTTCTCTTCGCACAGCATGAGGCTGCTAGCTCATGTTTGATTTACAATCCCTTGTAATCCTGAAGGTGTTTGGTTTTTTTTTTTCTGTTTTGTTTTTTTAGAATTCTGGTAGAGTTGGTTCCCAGCCTGTATTTGTGCATCTTTCCTCCTACAACTGAAAATACTTATCATGGAGTCATAGTCATAGAATAGCCTGAGTTGAAAAGGACCACAATGATCATCCAGTTTCAACCCCCCTGCTATGTGCAGGGTCGCCAACCACCAGACCAGGCTGCCCAGAGCCACATCCAGCCTGGCCTTGAATGCCTCCAGGGATGGGGCATCCACAACCTCCTTGGGCAACCTGTTCCAGTGTGTCACCACCTTCTGTGTGGAAAAACTTTTTCCTAATATCTAACCTAAACCTCCCCTGTTTCAGTTTAAAACCATTTTGCTTTGTCCTGTCACTCTCCACCCTCATAAACAGCCGTTCCCTCTCCTGTTTATACGTTCCCTTGAAGTATTGGAAGGCCACAATGAAGTCTCCCTGGAGCCTTCCATTCTCTAGCCTAAACAATCCCAGTTCTCACCACCTTTTCTCATGGGAGAGGTGCTCCAGCCCTCTGATCATCTTAGTGGCCCTCCTCTGGACCTGCTCCAAGAGCTCCACATCCTTCCTGCACTGGGGGCCCCAGTCCTGGATGCAGTACTCCAGATGGGGCCTCACAAGAGCCGAATAAAGGGGGACAATCATCTCCCTCTCCCTGCAGGCCACCCCTTTGTTGGACAGTTGGCCTTCTGGGCTGCAAGCACACACTGCTGGCTCACATCCAGCTTTTCTTCTACCAGGACCCCTAAGTCCTTCTCCTCAGGGCTGCTCTCAAGGAGATCTTCCCCCCAGTTTGTATAAATACCTGGGATTGCTCTGACCCAAGTGCCACACTGTGCACTTGACCTTGTTGAACCTCATTAGGTTTTCATAGGCCCACTTCTCCAACCTGTTCAGGTCCCTCTGGATGGCTTACCTTCCTTCCAGTGCATCGACTGCACTGCTCAGCTTGGTGTCATCTGCAAACTTACTGAGGGTGCACTCGATGCCATCATCTTATATGGCTTTTTGTCTGCACATCTCAGTCTGAATTCTGATCCTGTTCTTTTGCTCATTTGTCTCTACCAGCCTCATGCCATGTGTAAATGTGGTAACAATCTTTGCTCTACTGTGCAGGTTGCTGATGAAAATACTGAACAGACACCAGTGTAAGACAGGCTCCCAGGAGATCCTTACCATACAGCCTTCTGCTTTAACTGTGTACCTTAGAGGGCTGCTTTTTGGGTACTCTTTTTGGGTACAACACATTTTCATTGCAATCTAGTTCTGTTAGTTCTCTTGTGAGGAAGTATCAAGACTTCCATGAAGTCTGGCTGAAATATCTGTTGCATCTCCTCCATTTGTAAGTCCAGTGTTCCTGCTATGTGAGGTAATGATGTTGGGTTTACATTTGTCCTGACAAGTCTACATTGGCATTCGTTGGATGGTTTTTACTAGCTTGCTTATGAGAAGTTTCTTGCCACAGAAATTCAGCAGGTTTTGTGAGAAACAAAATATATATTGCTGTTATTTTCAAAATCAACTTTCCGAAGTCTGAATAGCAAGAACAGGGCAGTAATCGTTCTCTAAAAGTGAGAGGTCAAGCAGTCTGTTCATGTTTTTTTTTCTTTTTTTTTTTTTCCCCTATGTCTGTTGCTTGACTTTATGCCATACAGTTCTTTGTCTGGCAGCAAGCAGTGGGTGACTCAGCAGGGCCGAAGTCTTGCCAAGTTGACTTCTGTTGGATTTAAAGCAGAGTGGAAAAAAAAAAATAAAAAAAAAAATGCTGTCCTTGCTGTCAAATATTTAAGTGTCCTGATACTTTTTTCTTAGACTTGTGCGTTGTTTCCTGTAGTTTAAAGCTCTTGCTAGGTAACGGTAGGTCACGCACGCAGAGTTATCACAGCTTTGACTTGGCAGACCCTTTGAAGTGCCAAAGGCAGAGGCAGTGCAAGAACCCCATAGCTTGCAAGTCGGGAACTGCGTTTGGAGAGGGCTGCTGATTTTTCTGAAGAGTGGGGAATGAAGCAGTTTCATCCTTTAGCCTTTTATTCTTCTGAGGCATGTGTAAATGTTTGATCTACATTAGTTTTATGTGGGGATAGGTTTCCTTCTTTTCTTAGGTGTAGTTGAGTGTACCGAATTTGCTTACAAACCAAACCACTTAAAATACTGTGAAGCTAGAGAAGAAAATTTCAAACAGATTGGGCAGCATGTGGAGAAATTGTGTTTCTGTTCAGTGCTGCAGGTATTGTGAAACTCAAAATGGAAGTTGTGGGATCTGGCCTGAGTTGTTGCTATATTATATTTACGCAATTGCTGTCTTGTTTACTTTTTTTGCTATTTCTGAAGGTGAGAAGCCCTACAATTTGCCTGCCTAGCTGGAAGTGTTGTCACAGTGCGCCTCTTTCCCTTAATTTGATTCCGCGGCAGTAAATGCTGCCCATATTTCTGCTACCGTTTTTCTCTCCAGGCTCCCACCGTCCAACAGGCTGTCCTCTCTTTTCAGCGCTTTTCTCTCGGGCACAGCCCCAAGCTGCCGGAGTTCGAAAAGCATCTGGACAGTGCTCTCAAACATATGGTTTGAATTTTGGGCGGTGCTGTGTGGAGCCGGGAGTTGGACTTAAAAATGACATCAGTCAACTGGCTCGTTGGTCTAGGGGTATGATTCTCGCTTAGGGTGCGAGAGGTCCCGGGTTCAAATCCCGGACGAGCCCTCCTTTTGGGCAAAGAGGAACCTGATGAGGTTCATCAAGAGCCAAGCGTGTGTAGGGTTCTGCACCTGGGAAGGAATAACCAAGTGCACCAGTCCAGGGCGGAGTTCTGAGGGGAAGGATCTGGGTGGTCCGTCCATCTCCAGCACTGGTGGGTGGTAGGTTGGCCATGAGCCAGCAGTGTCCCAAGAAGGCCAATGGAATCTTGGAGTGCATTGAGAAGAACCTGGCCAGCAGGTCGAGGGAAGTGAATCCTCTTCTCCTTTCCCCCTGCTGTGCCCTGGTAAAGCCACAGCTGGAATACTGTGTCCAGTCCTGGGTTTCCCAGGGAGTTCAAGAAAAATGGGGAACTTCTGGAGAGAGTCCAGCAGAGATGCTCAAAGATGATGAGAGGCCTGGAGCATCTCCCTTGAAAGGCTGAGAGAACTGGGGCTGTTCAGCCTGGAGAAGAGACGGATGAGAGGGGAGTGTGTCTCATCACTGTTCATTAATATGTAAAGTGCAGAAGTCAAGTTGATTTGCGGTATACTCATTTAGATGGTGTGCAGCAATAAAAGAAGAGCCAAAGGGTACAAACTGGAACACAAGGAAGTTCCTTCTGGACATGAGGAAGAACTTCTTTACTTTGAGAGTGACAGAGTACTGTAATGGGCTGCCTGCCCAAAGAGGTTGTGGAGTCTCCTTCTATGGAGATATTCAAGACTAGTCTGAATGCCCACCTGTGCCAACCTGCTGTAGCAAACCTGCTTTAGCAGGAGTTGATCACGATGATCTCCAGAAGTTCCTTCCAATCCCTAAAGTTCTGTGATCCTTATGGGTCCCTTCCAGCTTGGGATATTCCATGATTCTGTTTCTGGGGCTGGCAGTCTTTCCCCCTTTAGATTATGTTGAGTGTGTGGGGTTGGATGCTGTGTCCTGGTGAAAGTTCCTTGAGGAATTTACTTTGTTTCAGATATGGAAAGTCGTATTTCAGTTGGAAAACCTGTAGCAATGGATCTTCCTGTCTGAAAGGAGCCTGCAACCCTGGGATATGCAGCAAAATGCAAAATATTCGGAACTAGACAGAAATTATGGATTTTGGAGCACTGGAAAATAAATGATTCTCAAGTAACAGACAACCTCTGTCTCACCAGAGGTTCCAGTCTTTGGTACAATGCATTTTTTAGCATAAAGGCATAGAAACTGCAGCAGCTGCATACCTTCTGGGAGGGTCTTACCTTCCTGGCACAATAGCAGCAGAGCACAGCTCCACACAGACCTGACTGCAGATGCTATCAGTAACATTCATCTGTGTTGTGCAGGAATGGAAAATATTTTTGTGCTGAGTTAACTAGGAGGCATATCCTGATCTAGCTTTGTCACAATAGCAGATCGCCATGGGCACTTATTCGAGTTTCTTTTGCTGTGGAATTTTAACTTCAGAGCAAACTTTTTCTCTTCCTTTACAGAGAGTGCTTCTCTTTGTTCTTTGTGAAAAACAGGAGGCTGTTTGTCTGTTTTCCTTGGATAATCCTATGAAGGATGATAATGCTTTAGAAGGAAACAACAGCCAAACGCTGTGTAGTGTGGTGTCCGTTGTCACAGCTACAGACCCGCCCCTCTCATTTCTCAGTTTGTTTTTGGTTGTTTTTCTTTGCAGAGTAAACTGAAATGAAACACACGATTTATTTGCTGAAGAAGAGGCTACATCTGTGCAAACTTCTTGTTCTTAAACAGCAGGGCTGGTGCAGGGGAGGGTGTTTGCAGAAGAGGAGGGGGAAGGAAGGAGTGGAGAGGGGCTTTACAGCAACAAGGTACCACTCCCTGCTGCATTTCAGCCCTGCTTTAAATTCTTGCTGTAGAACAAAGTAACAAAGTCAGTTTGTTTTTTTCTTTTCTTTTCTTTTTTTTCCCCCTCCTAAGGTGAATCATGTTTGGAAAAATTTACTTGTAAAGAGGATAATAGAATTTGAGTCCCGTAGTTTCTGGAACTGCTGTTGGTGAGATAACAGTCATGGCTTGTTTCTACTGTAATTGCATAGCTTAATAAACTACTGCAGAATTCCTCATTAAAAAAGGAGGAGAAAAAAATCTTCTGAACTCAATTCTGTGTTACCATAGCCCAGCAATGAAAGCTTAATGCTTTTTTTTTTTTTGTAGCTGATGCTGTTGTTCCTTCCTAAGTCTAAGTGACTTGCAATTGTTTTGCATTTGCAACTCTTCAGAGGCAGATACCTTTGTAAATTAGTGATGCAATTATGTCACCATCCTTAATTCTTCTGTCACTGATCATTTTGGGTGGTACTCATTGAGTAAATGCATTACTTTTGGATGCAGGTGCAAATCCCTGGGCTGATGTTGGTAATTCTACCAGGACAGGAAACAAGGAATTCAAAGCTGATCTCTGTTGCTCAATATGCATTCATCAGATGAAAGATTTAGTTATCTCCTGGGCATTGAAACCCGTAACTCTTTGAGGCTGGAAAGTGGTATAGCAGCCAGAGAAAGTGTATGGCTAAATAATAATGGTAATGAAAGAGACAACTCATTTAAATTAATTTTCTTCCCTTTTCTAGTCGTTCAAGTAATTGCTTTTGATCTATTGATAAGAAAATTGATGATGATTCTTTTTTATTTCCAAGTTAGTCTTTTGTTGATCTGCTCACGTAGGCAGTGAAGATTGCTGTGCATGATGCTTTTTTTCTCTATCCCTTGGTGAGACTAAGAAGAAGAACAACCTTGTGCATGGTGTCTTGGCTTTCAGAGTCCTGTGATTTTCTTTTAATGCTTTCTCCTAAGGGATCTTGAAGCCAGAGCACAGAATGAATTCTTTCGGGCCTTCTTCAGATTGCCTAGGAAGGAGAAGCTACACGAAGTTGTAGACTGTTCTCTCTGGACACCATTCAGCCGCTGTCACACAGTGGGAAGGATGTATACTTCAGACAGTTATATCTGTTTTGCCAGCAAGGAAAATGGCTCCTGCAATGTTATCATCCCACTTAGAGAGGTAGAGTTGATTGTTTCATTTCAAGTCCTTATCTGCCTTTTTCTGCTGTCACTTGATTTATCCATAAACTGCTATTTGATGAAAAGAGAAGGGTGCTTGTGTGTATCGTCCCTGGAAGACTGTTTAAAGTTCATTCTGGGACTCATTAGAACATGAGTTCCCAGGATTACGCATGGGTGAGTTAATGAAATTGTCAAAATTAAGCATGGGCAGCAGAACATACTACTGCAGTGGTTGGAGTTTGATTGGTCCAAGACTGGGGCAGTGCTCCCATCCCAGCTCCAGAAATACATAAGTCCAACTTGATGTTGGTGGAGACTTCAGCTTGGACCCAGTCTGGCAACATAAAGGTGTCCTTATCTGAGATCAACGCTTAGAAGTGTTGAATCTCTCTCTCCACAGACGGACTCTAGCAAAGTTGTGTGCACTTTGCAAACCTGTGGGGCAGTGAGGAAAGGGGGAATTCTGGAAGGAGTGATGAGTTGCTAAATTTTCATAAAATTAAAGACTTATTTAAGTAGAGGGAGAATACATGGGAAGGTGGTGGGAGTAGAGGAGAAGGGAACTGTCAGCAAACATCTGCCTGATCTGCTGTGGATCTGTTATGATCTCTTAATTAAAGCTTTCCTTTCATCCTCAGCTAATAACAGAATAACATCCAAATGATATGTATCCTAACTGCAGTGACTTATCTTCCACTCTTACAGAATAGAAAGTAAGATAATAGTGTTAAATACTTCATCACAAACAACTATTTCCTCCCATCCTCTAAAGTTTGAACATAAATTTCCTCCTCAGTCCCATAGAATTTGGTTGAGTTGACCCTTTTCTAAATCTAATATTAATCATTGCTCTCCTTTCTTATCTTTTCCCTCAGTCTGCTCTCCCAAAGTGGGTGGCAAAATTGAAATAAAAACAAAACAGAAAGAAGAAACAGCTGGGATACTTTTTGCTGCCTGCTATGAGCTTCTGAAGATACCATAAACTTTGGGTGGCAGAATATGTCTGGCTAAGGAAAGCCAATATGAATAAACACTTTTAAAATATGCATGCAAATGAATGCCATTTTTGTAAATTGTGATACATGTACAATGTACATGAAGATGTTTCTGTAGATTTATGCATTATGTATTTTCTTTGATGTTTCTGGAAAAGGTAATCAGTATAGAGAAGATGGAGGACACAAGTCTTCTTCCTAATCCCATCATTGTTAGCATAAGGAGCAAGACTGCCTTTCAGTTCATTGAACTGAAGGAACGGGATGCTTTGGTGGAGAACCTGCTCCAGAGGCTAAAAGAAGTGAATTCCAGCAACCCAGTGCACTGTAACAACCTGCAATGTAAGAACCAGGTACTGAACTTCTGTGGCTTTTTGAATTATGAATTCATTGTGTTTTTCCATTGGTCTGTTGTGCTGCTTTTCTCAGCAGCACAACAGTTTCGGTCTGGTCCTGTCTGATGCCCTTGGTATTGACCAGTACAGTGGTGTGGAGGGTATCCATGGTGCAGTTGTGGCCTGCACTGTTTAAGGGGAGCAGTGAATATGCTGAAGGTCAACACTGCCCTTCACAGAGGCCTTAAAAATCTGATGGAATGGCTGATAGAGATTTTGTGAAGTTCAGCAAAAGTGCAAGTAAGGTCTGGCAGAGTAGCCCTATGCAAAGGAGAGGCCTGGGCTGGCTGGCTAGAGAGCAGTTGGGCAGCAGAAGCATGGAGCTCGTGGTGGACACCAGGCCAAGCACATTGTTCAGCAATGCCCTCTAACAGTGAAGAGGGCCAGCAGACTGTGGGGTTGAACATAACCAGCAGGCCATGAGACTTTATTGCTTTCTTTTATTCAGTGCTTATAAGTGTGATCTTGAATGCAGCGTTCAGTTTTGACTCTGCCTCACCAAACAAGAAAAACAGTGACAAACTTTAGAAAGTGCCCTGGAGGGCCACAACATGACTGTAGGTTGAAGTACGTGCTTTATGAGGTGAGGCCGAGGTCAGCAAAGATACTTAGAAATTACTAACAACAACAGTTTCAAAGTAACAACTCTTCTCTGGCATACAAATAAATGATAGTATGAATAAAGTCTTGAGTAAGACCTTTCCTCCTGGAAGGTGTAAAACATTTTGATGCAACAGCCAAAGCTAGCCCAGGAAGCAGGCTGCTGCTTGTTTTGAATGCTGTTTGGGAGCCAGTTCTTAACCTCTTCTCATTTGTCACCTCCTGTGGACCTACACTGCAGAACGCTCCTGTGTTCACATCTGCATGTGTGCTCGAGGGCTGTAAGCCTGGCAGTCCAGGAATGGAGGCTGCCCAAAGCAAGGACAGAAGCGAATGCGACAAGGAGAGCAGTTACTCGCTCAATGCTGAAGCACTGAGGTCAGACTTTCATCAGTCAGGAATGGCAGGCCTTGATTTTGGAAAGGTATGTACAATTTTAGGGATGTTGTAAGTTTTCTCTTAAAAACAAACAAACAAAAAAACCAGGTAATTCAAAATTCAGACAGGTAATTTTAGTGTAATAAAGCTCTGTATTGCCTGGAGAAGTTACATGTATGCTAAATATAAAATAGCTGTTTTTTTATTTGCATGTTTTTTTTCTTCTTCCTCCCCCATTCCTTTCTGATGAATATTTATAATGTTTTTCCCTATCTTCAGTTGTGTTCTCCCTTATGTGGTGATTCACATATGCAAAATGGACATAGTTTAACTCCTTAGAGTTCCAATATCCTTTGGTAATGGAAATATCTTGCAGAATTTCTAAGATGTAGAATATTTCTTGTTTTACAGGTTCTCACATGCATATGATTTGTTCTTTTAAAGATACCTTCTTGTTCGCAGTCTAGGGAGCAAATCAAAGAGAGTCTATGGGATGACCATTTTGTGGAGTATGGCAGAACTGTGTGCATGTTTCGCACAGAGAAGATCAGAAAACTTGTTGCTATGGGAATCCCTGAATCCTTAAGAGGCAAACTGTGGCTGCTCTTTTCAGGTGAGCACTTACAGTTGGCTGTAGTCATGTCTGTTTCTGTGCATAGCAAAACATTTAGGTGCAAAACTTCCCAAGGGCACTTAAATGTCTTAGGCATGGAGTTTATATGCTTCTAGAAGACAAATGATCAAATAATAACAGCAAGTAAGTAATTAGGTGGGTGGTAAGAATTTTATCTCGGCATGATGGCACAATGTGCAGAAAAAAATTAAATAACATCTGCCTCATCTGTGTAATTTAAAATTAACGTCATGTTTTCATAGACTAATGCTCTTCTTCAAGGAACAATTTGATTTTAGCATAAATATTGATTTAACCTTACTCAAATCAAATTACTGCAAAATAATGACATCTTCAAGTCAGCAGTGCTGCTCTTGCTCCATGCTGAAAATTGGCAGGAATAATAGAAACTAAAGATGGAAAAAAACAACTCGTTTCATCCATAGATCTGGCGGAGCCAGAAAGTTTCTGCAGTATGATCTCAAGTTTAGTCCTTAATCCAACACACAACATGCTCAAAACATCTGTAAAGTGTACAACTTTTTTAATCCACTTGTGTCTCTTCCTCCCTTCTGGCGCTGCTTCCAGACGCTGTGACAGATCTCGCCTCTCATCCTGGTTACTACGTACACTTAGTGGAGGCCTCCATGGGCAAGTGTTGTATAGTGACAGAGGAGATTGAGCGTGACCTCCACCGCTCGCTGCCTGAGCACCCTGCCTTCCAGAGCGAGACGGGGATAGCGGCTCTCAGGAGGGTGCTGACTGCGTATGCGCACAGAAACCCCAAAATAGGATACTGCCAGGTGAAAAGCTCCTAGTGGGATAATGCTGCTTTTCTTTTGGTGGTTTTTTTTTTTTTTTTTCCCACTTTTTCTTCTTTCTCACTTTTATCGTTCTATTGGGAATAATTTAAACTGTGTTTTTTGATAAATAATGTCTTTTTAGTTACGGAAAACGCGTAACTTTGGACATTAACTGTGAATTAATCTGGAAAACAAGCATGCTCTGCTTTATCAAAAGCATTCCCTCAGCATTCTGCAAACTGCAATTAGAGTTAGAGGAGGGAAAAAAAAATGATGCTTTTGTTTGTTTGAGGGTGAGTTTCTTGCACAATACTTGGAGACAGTGCAAAGGGAGCTGGCCTACGTGGATGAGATTTACATAGTGCACTCGGGCAGAGATTTGATGAAGCTCTGCTCTTTTTTCCAAAACTGATGATGTTGATGATGAAGTTCCTTACCCACTGTCTCCTAAATTAATATCTTTGCCTTCTGTGCAGCTCTCTGAATTCTAGCTAACATCGTAACAGTTCCAGATTCCCTCTCTTCTTTTGAAATACAAATACAGGGAGAGGGGAAAAAGCAGGCCCAAAACATCTTGCACTGTCAGCTACATGCTTTGCATCTGGGCAAATCCAGAATTGTGCCTTTCTCAGTTGTTTCCCATTGCTCTTAGGAAAAGCAGCATATATAAGCTTGAAAAACTCGTTATGCCTTTTTCTTGGGTTGCAATTATGTATTCACTGACTGTTACCTTTCTTTGGCTGTTTTTGTCAGCTGTTTACATCAAGTTAGGCTACTTTTATTTTAAAAATATCCACAACTTAGCTTTTGCCAGTAGGTTTTGCTGTTGCTAATAAATCTTGATTTTCTTTTTTCCCCTTGTAAGTCTATGAATATTTTGACCTCCGTCTTACTGTTATATGCCAAAGAGGAAGAAGCCTTTTGGCTGTTGGTTGCTGTGTGTGAACGAATGCTTCCAGATTACTTCAACCACCGAGTGATAGGTGAGCTGATGTCTCTTCCACTCTTCTTGCTAGGGAAGGGTCAGCTGGATGGCACTGAAAGAACTAAGTGCAGTTCTGCTGATATGCAGAACCCATGAGTGAGGTGGTCCATATGCTTTCGTGTACTGTGGAAAGACAGCAGTGGTGGCTGCTTAAGTTCCAGTGGTTATTTTTTGGTTCAAAGAGTTTGAGCTGCAAGAGCCATAAACATACAGACTGCTTTTTATAGTTTGTCATTTTTTTTCTCCTGTTGGTCAGAAGATAGTAGAACTTTTGCCTGTTAGATAAAAATAGAAGAGCTTGTGTGTCTTGGTTAGCACTGCTAGAGATTCTAGCTGTTTCAGGTTGGTTTAGGGAAGATCTGCAGGCTGTTTTTGTGCTGATGCGTCTGCTTAGCTGCTAGAGTAATTTTAGACATGCATCTAAAATGACCCTTTGTAATGAGTGCTGCTACAAAACCAGATCGCTGAAAGTGAGGTGCAGCAATAAGAAATAACACCAGCCTCTCTGGAGCACATGCTTTGTACTGCACGTGGCATGTCTTTGCTTCTTTGCAATGCAGCTGTTTTAGAGACTGTTGTGAAAATATTCATGTAAATTGCTAATGCCTGCCTCACGTATAGGAAGAGAGGAGCTGAGCTGCTTGACAGAGTAATTGCACGCAGACATGCAAGAAAAAGTATTTGTTCTTTGCAGTCTGTTTACTTCCTCCTCTTACAGAAATATCTGATAGCTTTTCCCTCTTCAGTGCTAACCTTACTCTTCAGTGTCTGCCATTACACTGTTGCTGTAGCAAAGGGAGGGATCTGGTCACTTGTGAGGAGGTGGAGATAGGAGGAAGGGCCTGGCAGTATGGCTCTGGAGCATAGAGCTGGTGTCGGCAGTCTGGTGCTTCCTGAGGGGCAGGATAAGACGTCTGAGGAGATTTTTAATCATTTTCTTTCAGGGTGGGATTGTAATACCTCCTGATGCTGTGCAGCTGCACAGTCACTGAACTGGCAGGTGAGGCAAATTAAAGCAGAATTATAGTCAGCTAGATGCTTAGAATGTTTTGCGGTGTTTCCAGTGTGTTTTGTTTCCACTGGTATTTTCAGCTAGTGGATTTGGCACTCCACACTTGTTAGAACTTCAGTTCTTGTCTCCAGGTGTGACTTTATAAACTGCCATCTTGATGATTTACTCCCATGTACGTGCATCTCTTTTCGTGATTTGGAAAAAGAATAAACTACACAGCACGTCTGTTTGTCCTGCATTCTTAGATGTCATCATCCTAGGGCCTGTCTTAATGTCGCTGGTTGCTGGCTAATTGTTTATAAAGGAGAATTCCTCACACACAAATAAACTTGAATGTTCCCATACAGCTGGTCATATCACTACCCTTGCGTTGTACTTGGAGTTTGTATCTTGCTGTTGCTAACACTATAGCTGGAGCAGCTCTCCTACAAAGAAAGATTGAGGGAGTTGGGCTCCTTTAGCCTCGAGAGAGGGCTCTGGGGAGACCTAATTGCAGCCTTCTAGTACTTGAAGGATGCTTATAAGCAGGAAGGAGACTTGACTTTTTATGCAGGCAAATAGTGATAGAACAAGAGGGAATGGTTTTAAAATAAATGAGGAGAGGTTTAGATCAGATGTTAGAGAAAATTTTACACAGAGGGCAGTGAGGCACTGGCACAGCTGCTGGAGTAGCTGTGGTGTTCCATCCATCCCTGGAGGCGCTCAAGGCCAGGTTGGATGGGGCCCTGTGCAACCTGAGCTGGTGGGGGGCAGCCCTGCCCGTGACAGGGTTGGAACTGCATGATCATTAAGGTTCCTTCCACCCGGAGCCATTCTGTGATTGTGTGATACTATGATGTCAGGTTAGAAACAAGTTGTGCTTGAATCAAGAATGGATACAAGAGTAATGCATATCCAATTCTCGTGTTACTATGACTCTTCCATCCTCCCCATAAATGTATTGACCATTTTACTACACTGTATCTGTTAGATTGTCATCACCTTGCTATTATCATTTTTCAGACATTGAAAACCCCACTTCACTTCTCTGAATTGCCTTTTCAGTCCTGGAGAAGTCATCTGGATCATCCTTTTTTTGAATGGCTACCCTAGTATCTTCCTACCTCACTATGGTTTCGTGATGCAATACCCCAGAAATTCAATTGCTTGCTTATCGTGGTTTCTGTTTTCTTTTCTTTTTTTTTTTTTTTAAATAAAAAGTGGGCATAAAAATATCTTTGAATATACCTACTTAACTTTCATCTACAATGTCAACATTTAGTCAAGATATAATATTCTGCAAACGATCTGGTCAGCATTACACATTTCTTTTAAACTTTAGCTTTTGCCAGTCTCTCCCATACTGCCTTTGAGCCTGAAAGGATCTTTGAATGTGTCCACCTATCTGTCTCTAGCTTTCTTCAAATACCCCTAAAACTTTCTGTATCTTTTTTGATCTGTAAACTATTAAAGCTGTTAAATTCTTTATTAAAAACGAAACAAAAGCACTTAAGAAAGACGAATGCTGCAGAATAACCCCAGCCTGCTTTCTTTTCTGTTTTCTTTTCCCTTATCATTTGACATGAAAAAACTGTCCCTTCAAAGCAACCATAGTGCTTGGTGTTTCTCAGAAGCTCCTTGCATGCCTCTGGGTACTTACTTTCAATTTTTAATATTGTAATTTTGGTCAGAGACCAGCAGAAGCTTTTTGTGTCTTAATGTGAAAACAGAGAATTATCATAACTGTTTTTTTTATGATTTGGATGTAAAAGCAAAAGATAACACAATTTTCCAGCTCAAAAAAAAAAAGAAACAGGGCCCAAATCTGCTCCTTCTGGAAGGCCTGGTTTGGATGGTCAGGAAAGATTGTATATAGATATTGCAGAAATCTTCTCTTAAAAAAAAAATATATATATATATATATCTTTGCATTTACCTGTGTACCCATAAATATTTGTGTACATATGTGTATATGTATGTATATGTGTAAATCTCTTCTTCGTGCTTAATGAATGTAGTCATCTCCTGTATTTTGTTACCTGGAGTGAAAGCTCTGCTGCCTGCTTGCTTGAGTACATATGCTGTAGAGGAATCTGTAGTGTTTCATTTTCATTACTTAGACCCCAAGTTGAACAGTAAAATGCTTTAAGATTGCTTTTCCTATCACTTAATTATTATGTGCCGTTTTAGCCAAAAACAACAGCTGCTACTATTACTATTTTACTGCACCCTAAAGGCACTAAGCAGAACCAACATGGTCTTGCAGAATGTTGCACAGTGAGGATCAGAGACATAAGGGTTGGGGCTGAGATCACAGCAGGAAGATAATGGGGATTTCATTGTAGCCGTATGCATATCTTGTCAGTGCAATTTTTAAAAAATGTCTTAAAACAGCAATCATTGGCTTTAAAGAATATTTTTCCTGTGTCAATCCTGGCTAATACTGCTTCCTTGTACTTGCAGGTGCTCAGGTAGACCAGTCGGTGTTTGAAGAGCTTATAAAAGAGCAGCTTCCAGAACTGGCCGAACATATGAAGGACCTGACTACCTTAGCTTCCATTTCTCTTTCATGGTTCCTCACCCTTTTTCTTAGCATTATGCCTCTAGAAAGTGCTGTGAATGTCGTAGACTGCTTTTTCTATGATGGGATCAAAGCCATCTTCCAGCTAGGCTTGGCCATACTTGAAGCCAATGCAGTGGACTTGTGTAACAGCAAAGATGATGGACAGGCCCTGATGATTCTGAGCAGGTACCGTCATGCATCTGGTTGCAGGAACATTGCTTCCCTCGCAAATCTTTCTGCAGTCAAAGGAATTTGGGTGCTGTTGTCATGACAACTGTAGGCACCCTACAGTTAACATGCTGCTGCTGCTTTCACGGTGCCTATCTCAAACAATGGGCTTTGTAAATTTGACAAATATATGTCCTGTGACACTTCCTGGCGACGCCGAGACATGCACGGACTGTCAGTGTGCAATATATACTGCTGCTCTTTGTGTCTTCCCTGGAGTGACGAGCTTCCCGCTCCTGACCTCAAGGAGTCAGAAGTTTTCTTCCTTGGGCAGCGTTTAGTCATTTGGCGGGCTTGTTGTTCCTAGGATGAGTAATATTGAAGGCATTTCTGAAAAACATAGCAGCCTAAAAAAAAAATTTAAGTCTGAGCCATAAGACTTATAATTTATATTGAAAAAAACCATAGTACAGAGTAATCTGTGTTGCTTGTACTTGTTCCCTCTAGGTTCTTAGAGCACGTAAAAAATGAGGAGAGCCCTCTGCCACCTATTGGTAATCACCATGCATTTTTCAGCGATGATCAGGAAGCCACTCCAGTGACTGAAATAGCTAATCTCATTCATGATTCTTACGAGGTAAAATCCAGCTTGGTGTCTACTGGTCAGATAAGTTACAATTTTGTAAAAGAAAAAGATTTAAATTCAATATAGATGTTTCAACAGTTCATACACATCCTTTAAAAGATCTTTGAAGAAGTGCTCAAATGCAAAATGCTAGGTGCAGAATAAATACATAAACTGAGAGGTCAGTTAGAGATTGAATACATTTAAACTGTGAGTTCTTGAGGGAGTCACGGTATTTTAAAAGTTGTGTTTCCCATCTGTTGGAAATACAGTTTACTGGAATTATCAGTATAGTAAAATGTACAAAACAATAAGCTTCTGTTTCTCCTTTCAAGAAATTTGGAGATCACTCTGTGGAACAGATAGAGCATATGCGCTACAAACACAGAATCCGTGTTCTGCAAAGCCACGAAGACACAACCAAGCAAAATGTGGTGAGTAGAATGTTGTTTAGGCTGAGATTTAACACCTCCCCTTAGCCCCAATCTTCTGTGGCAACCAGCTTTCAGTCTTTTTAAGGTGCAAGATTATGAAAACAGGGGGAATCGTTACTGACTCTGGAAAAAAGTTCTTTTCTGGGATGCTTGATGTTTTTATTTTGCAGCCACATGCATTATTTTCTAGGGTGGCTATAACATTAAGAACAACTGCATGACAGTCCAGCACAATGCTTTGTGTGTGGCAGTGGCCCTGGGCAGATGCCTGGGGAAGAGCAAGAACAGAGTGATGGTGATGCGATGCTTCCCTGGCCTCCTGTGACCTGCCGCTTAGGGACTTCCTGTCTTTGTTTCTAATAGCCCTTAGGGGATTTCTCTTTTCACAGATTTGCCCAACCAGTGAACCTAGAGAAGGGGGGGGGGAAATTGCAAAGATTTTTCAGTGCTCGTTTTTACCTGTACCACATAAGAACAGTCACTGGGAGGGCTCGAGTGCTTGCTTGTTTGTGCCAGTGATGACAGTAGCAAGCATTGCGACTAACATGTATTCTCTTTAAGCTTCGAGTTGTCATCCCAGATGTTTCCATTCTTCCTGAAGATTTAGAGGAATTGTATGACCTGTTCAAGGTTGGTATACATAAAAAGTAGTGGATTAAGCTATTTGAGGCTCCCAGCTGTAACCTCCTGCCATCGCTTAGCACAGCTATCTTGCACTTCATGTCTGGGATGTCTTGGAGAGGTGTTCTGTGTTACCTGGATGAGATCTTAGCTGGAACTTGTCATTTTGTCCTTTGTGTGGTTGTCCAGTTGCTAAAGAGCAATACTAATGTACTGATAATTCAGTGGAGAACTACTGAGAATATTTTTTCTATATTTTTTCTAACTTGCTGCTTGGTAATGGTCCGTGAAAAATTAGGTCCCAGTAATTTTCACGTGCAGACTAGACTTATTATGTAGTTCTGCTCACTGGAGATCTGTAGTACTTTTAAGTCCTGCTCTCTTAATGCTCTTTAAAGGCATTCTCAATTGTCCATGGAGTGGGGAGGAAACCCAGAAACTTACATCTTTCCTATTAGTTCCCAATTATCTTTTTTTTTTTTTTTTTTTAACAATTAAAAGTAGTTTCTACTTCAGTTCCTTAATGTCAGGATGATATTTAAAAGAGCCGTTATAAAAGATATTTGGAGATGGAAACATTTAAGATTACACAGAAATCCATGATTTAGAGCTCCACGCATGTAATGGACATTTAATGGATATTTCTTTTGATCTGTTGTTCATCCATAAGTATTAGGCACTGAGAACATTCTTGTGGTATGTACTCAGTGTTAAGTATCTTTGTGGCTAAGAGCAATTGTATTCTTGTTCCATTAGTTGTGGTAAGATGCTGCTGCTGGGGCTCACTCTGTATTGCTTTCCTCCTGCTCCTTGCTGCTGTTTTTTATCCTTGACTCTTACTTGCACTCCTTCTCTTTCCTCACTTGGTTTCCTTGTGGCTCCTTTTTTATTACCTCCTCTGCTCCCTCAGGACACCCTGTTTTGTTGGGACTCTTTGTTGTGCATCAACCTGACTGACTCTAAGGGAAGAATAATGGGAACAGCATCCAAACTGAGAGGTCTGGGAGAGAATTAACGAGTGGGTCAAGCATGTTTGACACCTTGAATTTTTTCCACTCTCCTGTACCTCTGGATAGATGTCCTGAGCCAGATACAGCCAAGAGAGTGTCAGTAGCTCTTCCTCCAAGAGTCTGTCCAGTTTCTTTTCAAACTTATTAATTATCCATTGGCGATAATAAGAGCACTTGGATGCTCTAATTAAAGATTCATACTTAGCTTTTTTTCACATGAATAGTCTCGGTATCATTATAACACTAAGCACAAAGAGAATTTTGAGCGTTTCCAGCACACTTTGATGTGAATGCCTTTTTCTGCCAGTCGTGCTTTCTTTGATATTGCAGACTGCAATTCCCCTTTCCTGCATTTGATTTCTCCTAGAGGGAACATCTAATAAGATGCTACTGGGACACGGCAGGGCCTGCTGCTGAGCGACACGACCCCAGCAGGCCATACGCCGAGCAGTACCGGATTGATGCGCAGCAGTTTACTAACCTCTACAAGCTCGTTTCACCCTGGACGTGTGGGGAACACACCGACATCCTCGCTGAGAGGACATTCCGGCTTCTAGATGACAATATGGACCACCTCATTGAATTCAAGGGGCTTGCCAGCTGCCTAGGTATTGGCTTCTTACATGGGGTGGAAGGTGCACAGAGGTGGGGTGGTATGGGGTGAGACAGATGTCACGTAATTGGTGACCCTGCACCCAGGCAGATAGTGATAAAACAAGGGGCAATGGTTTTTAAACTAAGAGGGGAGATCTAGGTTAGGTATTAGGAGGAAGTTCTTTATTAGAAGGCTGTGAGGTGCTGGCACAGCTACCCAGAGAAGCTGTGGTACCTTGGGGCCCTGGGCAGCCTGAGCTGGTGGGGGGCAGCCTTGCTCACAGCCGGGGTTGGGGCTGGGTAGGATTTGACGTCCCTTCCAACCCAAACCTTTCTATGATTCTATGAAAATGTGAGCAAGTATTTTTTCTTATATGTGTAATTCACCTAACCAGTGACCTTCACTAATATTCACTATTCTATTCACAGTAAGTAGGTTAGATTTAAAAGACACCTAAGGTCATCATTCAATATTGTATTAAAATATGTGTTAGTAATTTTGTTGAAAGTATTTTATGAATTAAAATCATACTTGGGTCTGTGTGGAAGGCTAGGAAATCTTCTCTGCCAGATTGCTATACTCAATATACCTTTGAAATTGCAGTATATTATCTGTAATTGCTTCTTCAAGATTTATTTTAATCTCATTTAAGATTATATGAGTTTGCTGCTGTTGACAGTAAGCAGAACAAAAAAAATGTCCATCGGGGACTGAAAACAGAGCTTGAGGCCACAGCTGTACTGCTGAGAGAAGGCTGTCCATCCCAAAATCTGTCTGATGAACAGTACTACATCTCAGCTGTTGCCTGACCCCAGAAAACAAAAATGCTTCAACAGTCAAAGCCTCAAGAAATTAAGTAAATCCATATTTTTGCCAATTAAGCTTTCTAGAATTTTTTTATGTGAACCAAATGAACCCATACTACATGATTTCAATTCTTACATTCTTTAAACTGAAAAGGTTTGCACAACATTTCAGTGCTTTTGAAAGTTTAGAAGCAGTCTTCATTAGCAAGGGCTCTAGCTTCACCACCCAAGCTGCAGAAAGCAAAGGTGAGAATAGGGAGAAGGAAGAGCTGCGCACTCTAAGTGAGGATCAGGTTTGAGACTGCCTAAAGAACCTGAAGGTGCCCAAGTCCATAGGATCCAACAAGATTCATCCACAGGTTCTGAGGGAACTGGTGGAGGAAGTTGCCAAGCCGCTGTCTGTATTTGAAAGGTCATGGCATTCTGGTGAAGTTCCCCTGATTGGAAAAGGGGAACTATAACCCCCATTTTCAAGAAAAAAAAAAAAAGAAGATCCAGGGAACCACAGGCCAGTCAATCTAACCTCTGTGCCTGGCAAGATCATGGAGCAGATCCTCCTGAAGGCCCTGCTAAGGCACATGGAAAACAAAGATGAAGTGATTGGTGGTAACCTACATGGCTTCACCAAGGGCAAGTCATGCCTGATGAAACTTGTTCACTTCTTATGGTGGAGTTACAGTGTGAGTGGATAAAGGAAGAGCAACTGATGTCAACTACCTGGACTTGTGCAAAGCATTTGACACTGTCCCACACAACATCCTGGCTGCCAAATTGGAGAAAAATGGATTTGACTGAGTGCTTCCTAGATAAAGATTTGGCAGGATGGTCACACTCAGAGGGCTGTGGTCAATGTCTTAATGCCCAAGTGGAGAATGGTGATGAGTGGCGTTCCTCGGGGATTGGTGCTGGGACCAGTGCTATTTATCCTTTTTGTAGGTGACAGTGACAGAAGGATTGAGTACACCCTCAGCAAGTTTGCAGATGACACCAAACTGAGCAGTGCAGTTGACATGCCAGAGGGAAGAGATGCCATCCAGAGGGACCTGGACAGGCTTGAGAGGTGGGCCCATGCCAACCTCATGAAGTTCAGCAAGGCCAAGTGCAAGGTCCTGCACCCCTGCTGAGGCAATCCCAAGTACAGATGCAGGTTGGGCATAGAATGGCTTGAGAGCAGCCCTGAGGAGAAGGATTTGGGAATGTCAGTTGATGAAAGAAAGACTCAACATAAGCCAGCAGTGTGCGCTTGCAGCTCAGAAGGCCAACCATATCCTAGGATGCATCAAGAAAAGAGCGACCAGCAGGCCAAGGGAGGTGATTCTGCCCCTCCATGTGAAACCCCATCTGAAATACTGCATCCAGTTTTGGAACTCCTACACAAAAAGGACATGGAGCTGTTGGAGCAGGTCCAGTAGAGGGCCACGAAGATGATCAGAGGGCTGGAGCATCTTCTCTAAGGGGACAGGCTGGGAAAGCTGGGAGAGTTCTTCAGCCTGGAGAAGAGAAAGCTTCAGGGGAACCTTGAAGCGGCCTTCCAGTACCTGAAGGGGGCCTACAGGAACACTGGGGAAGGACTTTTTAGAAGGGCATGTAGTAACAGGATGAGGGGAAATAGCTTTAAACTGGAAAAGGTTAGATTTATACCGAATATTACGAAGAAATTATTTTCTGTGAGGGTGGTGAGACACTGGAACAGGTTGCCCCTCCATGGAGCATTCAAGGCCAGGCTGGATGGGGCTGTGAGCAACCTGGTCTAAAGGGAGATGTCCCTGACTACAGCAAGGGGGATGGAACTAGCTGATCTTAAAGGTTCCTTCCAACCCAAACCATTCTATGAATCTCATTACTTCTAATCACTGAAAATATGAGCTATATTACAAGAAAAGTAGATACCTTGTTGGGGCTTATTTTATAGAACAGTGGTAAGGGCTAAGGGGAAGAAACATTAAAAACCTTATGGCCCCAAGAAGAGAGTTTTCTGTCTCTCCCCTTTCTTGTTCCTGCTTATCTTGAAGCAACAAACAGCCTTCACTAGATTCCCTACCATTCTCCTTGATATTTTTAATTGATGATGAAGTTCCATAGGGTAGGTACACAACAAAGAGCACAACAGATGCCTGTCACCTGCTGTTCTTCATTAATAGGCGCAACTTAAAATATTTCAAAATAACATGCTTGTTTTCACATATTGTTCTTGCAAACAATTCTCTTTTCTGCACTGAGATGGCTGATTTATTTTAAGCTGTGGGAGTAAATGCTGTAGTCCACTTCCTTATTTTTCTTTCCCCTCCCCCCCCACCTCTTCTCACAGATGTCATGTATAATGGAGAAATGAATGAAAAGATAAAGTTCCTGTATAAGCTGCACATCCCACCTGGTAAGAAATTTGAAAGGATATACCTCAGTTTCCCTTTAAAAAAAAAAACAAACAATCAGCAAACCACCCAATGAAAACTGTTGGGAAGAGGCTGCCTAATGAACTGTCTTGCTTCCTTCAGCTGGGATTTGCGTTTGTAATTATGCTCACTCCAGTAAAAGCTTTCTGGGTGGAATTTATGGATACAAAACTGTTAAGGCTCACATCTGCTGCATACAGAGATGTTTTGCTGCCAGATCTATGGTTATTTCTAGACTAAATACAAACTGGGATTACATTATTGAATGGCTGTACTCAGTTTGCAGCAGCAATGTCCTCATCACACCTTGATCCAGTTGTGATGAGGTGACGAAATTATGCAATAGTTTCTCTGTTCAAAGTTTTTAATTCAGTGTACCATTCCTGTCAGAATTCCTATCTTACTGCAGCTCCAGCCTTATTTACATTAATATAATTTTACATTACGATTTAATGAAGTAACTGCTTAAAAACATATTTGCCCTGTTATTTAGTTTTCTTTAAGTATGTAAATTTTACAAACATAAATAACCACTGTGCAGCATTGGAAGGATTAATGATACTTCTTTTGGACAGCTCTCACAGAAGATGAAAGAGACAGCCAGTCACCACTGAAGAATCCTTTGCTGTCAACTTCAAGACCATTAGTCATTGGGAAATCAAACGGTATGGAGGAAGTGGTTGTCCATTGTATGCGTGTGTGTATGAGATAACGACTTTCCGCATGTTACCCCCACTCCATTATCTTCACTCTCTGGGTTTTATTCTGAAATGTTGATTTACTGCAATGACTTGAAAACTAATTCTCCTTTTTGTGTCCGCTCCATAAAAGGAGATGCAGTAGATTACCAAAAGCAATTGAAACAGATGTTGAAGGACCTAGCCAAAGAAAAGGATACTAAAACTGAAAAAGAACTGCCAAAAATGAGCCAGGTATGTATGTAAGGGGCTGTGGTCTGTTTTTAAAGAAGTAGAGAGCATTCACAAATGAACTGTCTAAATACAGCAGCTTAGCTCTTAGGGTAGCTTAAGCCCAAGCTCAGATTCAGTCCTTAGGTATCTAGGTTTATTCTGATGGAGGGAAAAGCATCATGTTAAAAAACAATCAGCCACCTTTCTAAGCAGCTTCCTCTCCACAGACTTGCTGGTAAATATACAGCGTTAGTGGGATGGAAAAAAAGCACTCTTCATAAAGCCAAAGAATTATTGAGAATGTATATTGCTGTTCTCTCTTTTCTGACCTCTTCCCCATCAGAAGAGTAACCTTGTTGGTCCATCAACAGTTGAGACTTGCCCTGTCTCAGCCTAATGCTGACTTGAACAGTGTTGGCTGTCACCAAAGGCTCGTCACCTTGTCATCTCTTCCCTAATCCTAATATTGTGTATGCTTTTGATACAAGGAAATCTACTGGGGAAAGGGGGCTCTGTATTATTAAAATGTGTATGGACATACAAAGAGAAATGAGAATCTACCTATAATCCCTTCTGTGATGGTATAACTAAATAAAGTTTTTAATGGGTGGCCTGTCCCCAGCCTTTTATAAGTTTAGCAGGTCTCACACCATCTGAGGGCAGCATTTCACTGAACTTCCTGAGGTCCCTTTCAACTTGAATTAACCTTTGATCGTGTGAAACTTCAGGTCTCACAGATGGAACAGCTCATGTCCTAAGAAGCATCTGTGAAGTGTGAGTGAGGCAAGGAGTTGTTTTTTTTTTTTTTTTTTTTAATTAGAAGAAAAAATTACTGGTGAGAGCTGGGGAAGCAGTGGAAGGGAAGGTATTTGCAGGTCTATGAGTGGCTACTGTGGTTGTGAATCACTCTCACCCATACTTTTTCTGCCAGTAATGAAATGTATCTCCGCTTGTTCTTTGGTCATCTGAGAGGTCCTGTTCTAAGCAAGGAAGCAAAATACTTTTCTGCTCTGTTCCCCTTTTGATTTCCAGTACAAGTGTTTCTTAGCTTGAGTGGAGGTTCAAATCCCCTTGCTTGCAGTTTTTCTAAAGCAAGCAGAAGTTAAAAATGAGCAAATCTGCAAACAATATTCTGCATTCTTTTGCAATGCTCTGCCCTCCCCCTGACTCCTAGTTACCCATGGCATAGCTGTTCAGCACCTTATTTCTGGTTTTTCATCCTTTACAGAGAGAATTCATTCAGTTCTGCAAAACCTTGTACAGCATGTTTCACGAAGATCCAGAGGAGAATGACTTATATCAAGCCATTGCCACTGTGACCACCCTGTTACTTCAGATTGGAGAAGTAGGACAAAGGAGCATCAGCCTGGGGAGCGGATCGGATGAATTCAGTGAGGACCTGCAGGCTCAGGCCTCTGCTTCAGACCATGATGCTGTTTTTAGTGACACTGTGAAGACCCTTCACAGAGACTCTCAGTCTTCACCTGTGACTGAAGGGGACTGGACGGTCTCTTTTGAACACATTTTAGCATCCCTCTTAACTGAACAGTCATTAGTTAATTTCTTTGAAAAACCCCTAGAGCTAAAACCAAAACTTGAGAACGCAAAGCTGAATCAGTATAGTCTCAAAACAAATGGAATGAGCTGCCAGTCACGGAGCGAACATACAAAACTAAACACACAGTAGCAACAAACCTATCAAAAAGAACATGCACTGAAATTATGCCAAAGCACATACTGTACAATGCTTTCAGTCAGCAGTGGACTTCTGATAAACAATTTGTTAGTTTGTGGTTTTCAGTTTAAGAGTTTTAAAACAAAAGGGTGTGTAAGTAAGTCATTTTGTGCCATCCACCGAATGTTAAAAGGAAACATCTGTCTACAGGATGAAGATACTGAAGTCCTCTTCCATACTGGGAGAGCAGAGGCTGGCTCCTGTTGCCCCCCCCCTTTTTTTTCAAAAGGAAAAAAAAAACAACAAAAAAAACCAGGAAAACTATTCAGCTACTGTCTGCAGTTTGTTTAGGTTGCCTTTTTTGCACTAATAACTGAAAACTGTTTCAATGCTGGTAATTGAAACTATTTTAATATATTTGATTGTATTCCAATTTGTATGTCTTGCTGAAAAGTTAAGTGTACATGGACTGTGCTTTTGATGTTGGTCTCTGACAGTATGCACTTTTCAATAAACCCTTTTTGTACTAAACCTGCGTTGGCAATTTCTGGATTGATGGGAGCTAAGTGCCATTAGTTTCCTACTTCAAATTCCCTGAGGTAGTGTGTTCCATTTAACAGCCTGGCCAGAGCCCTGTGTCTCAGGGCAGTACGCAGACCTGTCTGAGAGAAGCCTTCCACCTCAAAGCACAGCAAAGGAAAAACAGATACAGTCTCTATCTAGGAGAGATTACATACACGAAGTACTGTTACAATACCTGGGTCATGGCTCTTTATTCCTACAGGAACAAAATCCTAGGACTTTGCCAGCCAAACACTATCTTCGCTCTTACATTCACGTGTAGCAGAAGTCTGCAGATTTTTGTATTGTTTAGAATCATAGATGGCCTGGGTTGAAAAGGACTACAATGATCATCTAGTTTCAACCCCCCTGCTATGTGCAGTCACCAACGACTGGACAAGGCTGCCCAGAGCCACATCCAGCCTGGCCTTGAATGCCTCCAGGGATGGGGCATCCACAACCTCTCTAGGCAAACTGTTCCAACACATCACTACACTCTGTGTGAAAAATTTCCTCCTAAATAATAAATAATAATAAAAAAATAACATCCCCATTATGCAAAGCCCCAAGAAAACAAGTTGTCACCTGTTCAACTCAATTCTTCCTGGGTGAGATCTTGAAGAGACCAGACAATAAAAAAGATTTAAGATTAAACTTTCTTTTTAATTATTTTATTGTAATTAAAATCAGTTTAATTTTCATCCACATTGACTGTCTGTAGACCTGCAAAACAAGAAGTTGTACCATCATCTATTCCCACTGTAACTCCCTTTCAAGAACATGCAAGTCTTCCCAAGAGAAATCCACCTATGGTATGAAAGCTAGTTTGCTGATCTACTTCTGGAAGAACTATACAGGGAAATACTAATGGAAGCTTCACATTAAATCCATTCTGCAGATAAGGTATTTTTCAGCTGATGCACATGAAGGCTCTACCTGCTTGTGCCTCAACATCATTAGACATACTTTAAATAGGAAAATATGAATCTTAAATGACTCTAACATCTACAGTGCTTTCTTTTTTCTTTCAAATATATTTGTATATATTATTTCACATAATACCATACTTACAATTTTACTGCTGACCAGGCAAGCTACCTTGCTCTCTACAGTAGATGAAGTTAAATCAACAGTTTGACCCCTTTCTGCACACTTTTCATCCTAACTCTACATTGCAAAGCTGTCCTATTTCACCAGCTGCTCACTACTGTGCATGATTTCCTTCAGGAAGAGACGCCATGCAACCTTACCTTTGAATGTTGTGACTGGTACATAGGTAACCAGCGTGTACAGCTTGTTTGGGGAATCTTCATCCTCATTGCGCTTTCTGGACAAACGCACACGGATACGGTAAGGAACATTCCTAAAACAAGACATCATTAACTGTCAATAAAACATGTACTGAATTTTTTTCAGTCAACAGCAAAGAAAAAAGCTCCTTGTTTCATGGTTACTAACCTCTCTGATTTCTGAAGCTTTGCCTATTTCAAAGACATGATGAGTCAATCCTATTTCTGTAGCAGCACCGTAACAAGAATGAAAGCCTGTACCTTGAAATCTATGCTGCTTGTCTTAAAGGAGCTTTTAAGCGTGCCATTAAGAGTCAACTGAGCCTTGAGTACTGATGATCCACTGGAAGCATAACATCAGAAGTGCACCACTGCTCTAGTTCTGATCCAGCAAATAGGCAAAATGAAGATGATTATCATCAGCAAGCAGCTGTTACTAACAAGCATTTCTTACCTGAATAGAATATAATAGCTCAGTTGGAAGGATCTGCAAAAATATATAGAGTCCAATTGCCCAACCAGTTCTGAGCCAACAAAAAGTTCAAGTGTATTAATTGAAGGCATTGTCCAAATGCCTCCTAAACAGACAGGCAAGGGGTATCGCCAGCCTCTCTAAGAAGCCTGTTCCAGTGTTTGAGCTCCCTCACAATAAAGAAATTGTTCCTAATGCCCAGTCTGAACCTCTCCTGGTGCAGCTCTGTGCCATTTTCCTTCTGCCATCAGTTCCCAGCAGCAGAGCACCTCCCTCTGCTTCTCAGGGCACTGCAGGGATCAGTGAGGTCAACTCCTGCTTGTCCTCCTCCAGACTGCACAGCCCAGTGCCCTCAGCTTCACAGGACATGCCTTTAGCCCTGTTAACAGCTCTGGTGCCCTCCTCTGGGCTCTTTCCAATACCTTAACATTCTTTTCATGTTGCAGAGCCCAGAACTGCAGACCATATTTAAGACAAGGCCACAACAATGCTAAATATAGTGAAAGAACCACTCTTTTAACCAAGTGGCCATGCTGTGCTTAATATAGCCCAAAACACAGTTTGCCCTTTGGTTGCCAGGGCACAATGCTGGCTCACACTGAGCCTGCTGCCACCACACAATCACAGAATCACTAAGGTTGGAAAAGACCTGTAAGATCATCCAGTCCAACCATCCACCTATCACCAATGGTTCTCGCTAAACCATATCCCTCAACACAACATCCAAACGTTCCTTGAACACCTCCAGGGAAGGGGATTCACCTGCACCATCAGTTCCCTTCCTAATGAACTGCTTCAGCCCCTCATCTCCCTGTCTGTGTCCAGCATTCCTACCTGAACAGGAAACAGTGAGGGGGGAAAAAACTAACAAAAACCCCACAACTACTTTGAAAGCCAGAGGGCCTTGTCAAAGATTCAGAGCATTGCTCAATCTGTTCGCCACAAGTCAGTGCAACCTTAGTATGCATAAGAGCTAAAGATCTTACCTACTGACATAGTTGATGAGCGTTTCTTCCTCACAAAGCCCATGGAATCACAGCTGAACTGCTCTGTTTTGTGATACTCTGTCACAGCCTAGCGTCCTCCCTTAATACTGCACTAAGTCTGATGCTGAGGGCAAGCAAAAAATAGTTTGTTCAGACCATTTGTCAAGTAGCCTCCCACTCAAAGGAACCCAGGATTTTGGGCAAGTCTTGCTCTCAGTACTTCACTCAGTAGAAGAAATTCCTTGCTGTGCACTCTCAGAGCATATTTATTAAATCAGATCCAGCACAAAGCACTTTCATGCATACTGTAATTAAGACACAGGCACTCGCTTCAATTCTCCCACCTCTTAAGCATTTCTTACTACTTTGCCTGGCTCACTGATCATCGCACTAGCTGACACTGTGATTTTAGTCTCTCCTCATCCTTCCAGAAGATATTAATCCTGGAAGAACAACAACTGCAGTTAAACTCAATGCAGAAAGGCAGATGTGATGACTCCCTGCTCTTTTATGCTGAATGCACTTAGCAGCACTTTTACAAATTAATACAAAGAAGTCCTGGATAGTAGCCTCACAACTAAGCTCTGAAGTTATGCTGTCTGAACAACTGCTACTTCTTTGCACACGAACCACAACAGCTTAATACTAAGGACAGAAAAACAACCCATCCAATAACTTAGTCCTATCCCCCCACTCTGCTTTGGAAGGAATCACAGAACAGCCAGGGTTGGAAGAGACCTCGACAATCATGAATCTCCAACCCCCCTGCCACACACAGGGCCACCATCCTCCACATTTAATACTAGAAGGAAGAAAGAGTTGACAAAGCACACAAGGACTCTGAATATGGCACGGGCCAGACTCACACTTACAGTATGAATTCCTGCCAGGTAACTTATTATGGTGTAAAAGATCTCACTCCTTACAGTCAGTAATAGCCTTTGGGCCACCTTAACACATGCCAAATGCTGAATCAACTGCCTTTCTGGCAGCAATTTAACACAAGTTTGTTATTTTTTGACCCCCGAACAACTTTATTATTTACATTCTCAACACAAGAATAACCTCCCTATTTAGAACTCACCACATCAATTTCTCGTGCATCATTCTGCCCGTTCACCATGCTTCAAACCTAATTCTCTTCAGGCACATTAAAGATCCCAGGTTCCTGGCCAGGAATGCAATGGGTTTCTAAAACCTTCCTGCTCTGATAAGCATTGGGGTACTACAATACTACAATACTGCAAGAAGGTTACAAATTTGTTCGGCCCTCTAAGTCCTGTATATATAAAGACATTATTACAAAGTTTCTCCCCACCCAACTCAGAAAAGTAGCAGAAACGTACCTTATTCCTTTCGCCCAGACTGCTTTGTTCAGCCTGGTGTCAATGCGAACATCAGGAGTGCCCATTTCTTTCATTGCAAATTTACGGATTTCCTTGAGAGCACGCGGTGCCCGCTTCTTGAAGCCACTAGGACAAGCAGAAGAACCATTTATTGAACTCCAGCAAACTGTCAGCACTCGAGGACACTCGTTGCAGCAATCGTCTACCAGCCACGCAATTCAAAAAACTTCAACCATCAGCTGTCAGTTTGCTGTCTCATTTCTCTTTGCTCGAAGTTAATTTCTGCCATTTCATCAATTACAGCTTTCGTTCCCGTGTGACCGCAGCCATACACATATGAAGAGAACCAAAGGGAATTTTGCAGTATGTCTTCTCAAGCACTCTGCTGCTGCACAGTATGAGCTTCAGGATGTTATCAAACACACACAAATCCCAACAAACATCACTCAACTCAAATCATACCCCAACTTATACCTCACCCAATTCAGCACTGAGCACAGATCCAATTATATGACTACAGCACTATTTCTAAAACTTATCACAGTGGGATAAATGTTATACTTTGGCTGGGAAATAACAGTGACTTAGGCACAGAGGCAAACAGCTCTCCTTTCAAATTAAATCCAGAAACACTCACAAAAAAACCAATAAGCTTTTGCAGAAAGTCATCTCCAAGTCCAGCTCTGCAGAGATACAGATCTGGTCCTCTGGGATACAACTGCAGGAGAAGAGACTACACCACCGCCCCTCACAACCCGTGCCAGTAAGCACTGTTGTTCTCTGCTGTTCTAAATGCCACCTGTACAAGCAACACTTCACCAATAAAATAAACATCACTTACACTCCATGGATCCGCTTGTGGATGTTGATGGTGTACTCCCTGGTCACCACCTCGTTGATGGCAGATCGCCCCTTCTTCTTCTCGCTGCCTTTCTTTGCAGGAGCCATCTGAACACCACTGGAAAAGCATCCATGCACATGTCAAACACACACCCCTGTAACTTTTCCTACGTTACATTGCCAGCTCCTCCATTCCACAGCTCCCTACAGGCTGCACAACTCCCACATTCAGGATGTTATTTCTGATCATGAAATGGTTTGGGTTGGAAGGGACATCAAGGATCATCAAGCTCCAACACCACTGCCACAGGCAGGGCCGCCAAACTCCAAATTTAAGACTAGATCAGGCTGCTCAAAGCCCCATCCAACCTGGCCTTGAACGCTTCCAGGGAGGGGGCATCCACAGCCTCTCTGGGCAGCCTGTTGCAGCACCCCTCCATTCTCACGGTATAAAATCCCTGGGATCACATCACTGGGCTCCATGGCTGCTTACCAAGACGCTTTCCCCAGCTGACCATAAATCACCCCTCCTCCCCTATCCCGCCACTGTATCTCCACGCTCCCTCCTCCTTCAGGGCAACCCAATAGGGGCCTATGCTCTTCCGCTCCCAACCCGAACCACAGCAGAGCCCGGAGCCCCTCACAGACCGCAGCCCCTGCACAGCTGCCCCGCGGCCACCGCGAGCCCGCTCCCCACCCATCCCAGCTGCGGCCGGGGGGCGCAGGGACCTGCGCCCATCCCTACGGAGCGGACGCCCGTCGAGAGGAACGCCCCGCCGCCCCGTGCGCAGGGCCCTCCCCCGCGCTGGACCGGATGGAGAAGCGCTCCCGCAGCGGGCCCTGCGGAGCGGATGGCAGCGGATTAACGACGACCGGGCCCGAACCCAACTCACCCCGCTTGGGAGGAGGCCGGAAAGGAAGGCGGAAGAGGGCGGGGGAGAAAGGAACCCTTCCGGGTTGCGGCTCACTGCGCCTGCGCAAACGGAACCTCGGGTTGGGAAGGGGCAAGGGCTGGGGGTGCGCGGTGCGCATGCGCACTCGCTTCTGGCCGATGGCGGCTAAGATGAGGCTGCTCTCCGGCATGAGGTGGTTCGGGTTTAGGATATTAGGTACGGGATGCGTTTTAATGATAGGCTGCTCTGATTGTCTACTACACGGTGCATGCTTCTGCTAACCTGGCTTGTTTGCTTTTTGCTAGGCTAAAGGTTCTCATAGCCGAGGAACTTACACCTGCATCTCCGTGTTGGGCTCTGGGTGCTGCCTTCCCACGTGCCATTCATCTTTAGGGGTCACACGCAATCACAGAACGGCCTGGGTTGAAAAGGACCACAATGATCATCCAGTTTCAACCCCCCTGCTATGTGCAGGGTCGCCAACTACCAGATCAGGCTGCCCAGAGCCACATCCAGCCTGGCCTTGAATGCCTCCAGGGATGGGGCATCCACAGCCTCCGGGTCTTTCTTATAAGTTGGCCCTTGTATAGGGGCTTGGCTTGAAGATTGTCCCACTGGTAGACTGTGTCCCATTCAATCTGCGCCTCTCATCCCTGAGACAGTAAGGGGACCAGCTGGTACAGGGCAACATATGATGACTTCCCTGTCTGCCTAGGGAAATAGCCAGCTCTGAGCAATTCCAGTGGGACAAGGCAGACCTCAGCTATACTACACCAGAACAACAAACCACTCTGTAAAAGAGGACTGGCAATCCATGTGCATGCAACAGGGAGCAAGGGCAATAATCCAGATCTGGAATGTGTGTACAGAGGAGAAATGAGACAGAGCATGAAAAATGAGATACTGACGTAAATCTGCTGTCACAAGTGCCCTGTGTCCTTCCAAACAACAATGTAAGCCAGCTTATGGGAAGGCAACCCCACCCTATTGACAGCCTGTTAACTGCTGCAGTTCTGCTGGTTTGAGGCTGAGCTCGGGCATACCACTGAGAATCAGGAGAGATGTGGGAGAGTAAAACAATTTCTCAAAGAGATTTTCTCTTCCTCTGGCTTCTGTCATAATAAATGAGGTTCAAGAGTCATAGAATCATAGAATATCCCAAGTTGGAAGGAACTTACAAAGATCACAGAGTCCAGCTCCCAGCTCCACACATACCACCTAGCATTCAAACCCCATGTCTGACAGCACTGTCCAAGTACTCCCTGCACTCGGGGCCGTGCCCACTGCCCTGGACATCCTGTTCCCTGACAGCTCCATGCCGTTCCCTCGGGCCCTGTCGCTGTCACAGAGAGCAGAGCTCAGCGCTGCCCCTCCGCTCCCTGTGAGGAACTGCAGCCACCATCCCTCCCCTCAGGCCTCTCTTCAGCTCCTCTGCTCTGCACTGAGCACGAGGGTCCTCAGCTACAGGTCTTACTTTCTAGACCCCTCACCATCTTTGTAGCCCTTAAGAAGTGCTGCTTCCACGGGTGTTTTCTCTGAAGAGCTCGTGTTCCTTCATTACTGCTTCCCTGCATGAACTTTCTGGCTTCAAAATGGACAGATTTCCCTTTCCGTTTCCAAGAAAAAGTCTGTACAGAAGTGGATGGCATTTATGAAGTTAGCCCCTACTTAGCTAATGTGCCTTCACAAAGCTTTGTTTATAGTTCACAGAAAAAAGTTTCCTCAGACATCAGGTGAGAGAACGTTAGGGTTTGGTGCTTTAATCTTCATCTGGAGGGGTCACTCTTGCTTCACTGAATGTAAGAACTTAAATGTGAGCACAGTGACTCAGATATCTGGGAGAGGTGACTGAAGCTAGTGGTAGAAACGTTTTCTTAGAGACCAGATGTAGTCTTACTACACTTTTTAGAAACAGATACTTGATTTTCTCATCTTCCTTCAGTACGAACTGAAATACCTGTGTACCAATCATTGTTGCCAGCCAGTCCTGCTGTGGAAGCATGCGAACATTTTGCCAGCAGGTTTTCTCCAGGAGATTTTTAGCTTTTTTTTTTTTTTTTTTTTTTTACGGAAGGCTTTTCAGAACCCAGGACAAGTGAACTTTTTCTGAAAGTTTACTTTCACCATTTGCAGCCCCTAACCCAGTTCTCTCTGTTGTAGAGGTCAGAGATGATCACAAGTGCCCTGTGACATCCCCGATGCAGAAGTGTGGGAAGGACAGAATGATTTGTGCTCTCTTGAAGGTTAGGCTGTGTCAGGCAGATGCAGGCTGTCCTGAGGGGCTCTGGGAGCCATCCCTTCAAACCTGCTGTGGCAGATGAAGACATTCTTACACCTAGCTGTCCACTTATTCTTTGTTGGAGCTTACTGCTCCTGCAGCAGAATTGCAGAGGGAAAGCTGGTCTGTGCTTCAGCTGTTTCATCTTGTCAATTTGAATTTAACATGAAAAAACCTGCACAAGGATGCCCAAGTGAGACTAGACTGTATGCAGTGAGGGTATGTTAGCTAATTCAGCAGAGGTGTAGCAGAAAACTCAGGACAGCCAAGTCTCTAAGCACTGAAGCTGCTGCTTAGCGAACACGGCTCAAAGCCTGGGAATATGCTACATCTGACTGCTGTAAACTGTTTGCTGTGCCCTGCGTTTTGTCCCAATCCAAAACTGTTTGGTTGGAAGTACAGAGCTACGGCCTTCAGAGTTATAAGAGAATGTAAAACCAGCTGTCTTGGCTAGCAGCTATTTTAACTTCCTAAGCTATCATTCTCATTGTCTGTGCCATACCCAGATCCTGTAGGATATTTGTTTTTGCTAACTGGATGCCAAATACCCCGTAAGGCTATAGCTAATACTAAAAATCTGAAGTGAATCATGTAGTTGAACAGCCACAGGAAAATGTGTGCAAGTCCTGCAATAAAGCCTTTTGGCTATTTTATTTTATTCTACAAATAAAGACACTGTCCATCATTAAAAGGAAAAAAAAATAGCTTGAGATGTATATAGCATGAAACAGTAGTACCATTCACAAAAAAAACATTTCTAATTCATTAGTTTATTACAAAATATCCACTCACAAAAAAGCACAAGCACAATCTTTATACTTGTGAAATGAGTTGATATTTCATATACAAAATAATTTCCACATAATTCCATATAATTTTATTTTATATAGAAATAGGTCATTATTACAACAGCTGTACAATACACTACTTTTTATTTAATAATTACATAAAATCTTTCTTAGAAACATATCAACAGAAAACATACAAAAAAAGCGAAAAGTGCATTTCTTCTTTCCCCCCCAAAGGAAAATTCAACCCTAAATGTTATAATGAAGGAGATATGTAATAGTCTGCAGCATCCCGAGTCAGTGGGCCAAAACACAGTGCATATTTCTCAGAGACTTGCAGTGAGTGAGTTATTTAGCTTGAAGAAGGATCCATCTTGTATTACGGGAGAGATGCGTGATTGTGCTTACAATCTGAGTTCACCTTTGCAATCACAATTCATATAGAAAACAGTCCAGTGTTTTTTGTTGTTGTTGTTTTGTTCTTAGTCACAAAGAACAGTTAGGGTAAGCTGCATAATACTTTTCAGATTCTAAATCAAGGGTTATGAGCTGTAGACCATCTTCACCAATGACCAGGCTTTCTTTTCCATTGGATGTGCTAATTTGGCCACAAGAATAAGGAAACAAACTTCTCTTTACAGAAAGTGCCTAGGTTTTGTCCTCTGTGCAGTTGTGCAAAATAATAACAATAATCATAATAAAAATAATCTCTTGTTCTCTCCTCAATAGACCTTTGATGCAGTGCTTTTCATACACAAAAGAAGAACTGAAAGAGTGAAGGCCATGTACCTCATGTGTCTGTCAACAGTCTTTTGGAATTGCCAGACAGCTTTCCAAGCAACACGCCAAGCTGGAACTCCTCCCCCTGTGCACCCAGTGATGATGGACCTTGCACAGGATAGTGTTCCTCTTTGTTTTGCTCTGCCAGTACGTGCTGCACTCACAAGACAGCACAAACTAAATCCAGCGTGCCGTCAGTGCGCTGTGTGCAGCAGTCTGTCCTCTGTGGCATCACAGAGCTGTGAAACAAAGGCTCGTGCAAAAGCCGAAACAGTAAGTACAGAGTCTTTCTCTCCTGCCCCATGTGCCCATTGGTTAAAGCTAATCGTGCATTGATTGTGCTGGTGGGACTCTATCGCAGTGGCTGTGGTAAATTTGATGATTCTGATAAGCTATTGCTTCTTCTTGGTAGTTGTTGCTGCTGCTGTGTCTGATGATACCCCATACTTCCTTGCTGTGGTGAGTAAGATGGCAGGAGCAAAGAATCAGTTTGCTCATTGTGCAAAGAACTTGGTGTTTGTACCTACAGATAAAATAAAATTCATCTCGTTTGATTCTTTCACATGTTAGAGCTCGTCGTCCTCAATGTACAGCATGCTTAAAAACTTAACTCTTTTGCTGGCTTTTATTTCTGGGCTGTCTGCTTGGCAAGGGGTTTGCTTACCTATGCTAGGAGGAATAGACTTAAATTGCAGCAAAGAAGATTACAATTAGGCATCGAGATTTTCCAGTAGGCATGCCCTGCCTAAGACTTGCAGGTTATTCTGAAAAGTCTGTTTAAGTACAAGCTGAGACAGAAGTGTCAGAAATGACATAGCTAGACAGTAGAAATGAAACAGAAATGACACAGGGGATCCTAGTAGACCTCATGAGGTCCCTTCTAGCCCTTTCTTTTTGTGAGTACATGGTAGGTTGTAACCTTGCAGTGTTGAAGTCCATGTGAATTTTGCAGATGCTTGTATAAGAATGGAATCTGCCTTTTTTTCTTTTTTCTTTTTTTTTTCTTTTTTTTTTTTCCCCCATTAACTCTCAGCTATTGTAAGGATGCCATTTTTCAGTTTAATTATTTGAGGTCGATGATACTCTTTCAGTGATTCCAGTGGAGTTATGATCAGGTTTTATACACTCAGTTCAGCTCCTTTTGAGACATCTAAAGAAACACATCTTTCCCCCCCTTTCCCTTAGCTTTAGTATGTGCTGAATTAGGTAAAACAAAACAAAACAAAACATCACGGTATTTTTCATCTTCAAATCACCTGGTGCTTCCAGGTGATCTGCTCCAATTCATCTTCTTTGCCTTGTGGAGTTGAAGAAATATTTTAATTTATGGAAGAGATCTGGATATCTGATCCAGATCTCATTTTATGTTGGTGCTGGTAATTAAAAATCATCTTTTGACTTGTAAACTAAGCAAATCTTGTACTTAATAAAGAGTACAAAATAAATCCTAAGGCAGCAATTTTCTCCATCTAGAAATACACTTTTAATACATCCAAGATAATCTGATTATGTTTCCAATATGCAGGATTAGTAATTTCCTTTGAAATAGTCTGACTGTTCTCACTGCTCCCTTGCTATACTGGAAGAGTACATGACACTGTATCAGTGTCTTGCACATTTCATTATCTCTGAAATGACCATCTCTGTTGTGATCAGGCTCCCGCTGAAACTTACAGCTTGGCAAGGCCTGCAGGCCCTGTTTGCACAGCCCATTCTCCTCATCACTCTGTGCATGTGTTTTACACATTGTCTTCTTTGTCCTTCCCTACCTGCAGGTAGCGTTGTTGCTGATGCTGTTGGTGCTGGAGTTGCATAGGTGGCAGGGAGGATGACTGGGAAGGAGGAGTTGTGGCAAACCCTTGGTTTAACACTGCTTGTCCCATCAGAACGATTGGAGAGCCGCTGCTGGAAGCCTGCACTTCCAAACTTTGAAACATTTGTTGGTTTTGAGAATATCTGTGTGAGAAAGAAGGAAAACAATCAAGAATAAACCAGTATAAACAAAGACCTTCTCCTAGGATACGAGGTGGACATCAATAGTCTTCATAAATAATTCTCAGTAAAAGATTCCAATGCGTCAGATCTGTGCACATGAGAACCAACAGCACTGGCAGCACTGCTTTACTTACGAGCTGGGCTTGCAAGGCAGAGCACGTTGCACCTCAAAATCCAGACCACATTTTAGATTCATTAGAGATTCTGGTTTATGCATGTCTTCAGCCACAGGTTCACATCCCAGGCTCATTAAAGCAAATGGCCTTTGATTTTTTATTAATAAGATGAGTTCTGAACTGCGGTAGCTGAGTTCTGCCCTGTTCTGCTGCCTATGCTTTGGTATGGCTGCCTGTGGGAGTGGTGATCTTCTGCAGAAGGATGGGTAGGTTTCATTACTTTCTAAGGTGCTTTAGAAGAACACAAGAAGCCTCTAGAAGTCCTCTAGAATGAGAGACAGGCCAAAAACAAAACACTCAGCTCCTCTTGCTAGGCTGCTTTTGCATAGCAAATGCCAAATATGTGCTGTTTTGCAGAAGGCTCTGGGTAAAACCACAATGGAGCTACTGCCAACCCAGCCTAATTCTGTTTATCCTGTAATGGGTGATGAGATCATACTGTGCTGTGTGTTTTCTAACAGCTGTTCAAAATTTAGGGGTTAGTCAGAAATGGCTAAGATTTGTGCACTTATGAAAGGATGTGAGGTCTGAAAAAGCAGAGCACTTGAATGGGGAGAGGTATGTTTGAAGATCAGGCCTGTTTATTTAGCGGCTTAAAGCAGATCTCAACTGCAGATCTGTATGCTAAAGGTTTTAATTCAAGGTAATCTTAAGCAGCAACAGTTGCATTTAAAAAAGAAATACTGAATACCTACATTCCTGAGGTAACTTAAGGAATCACTTTAATGACATACAAAGAACTGATCATTTTGACAGCTCACAATTAAGGACAGTGACCACAAAAACAAACAAACAAACAGCTAAAGGGAAAAAAAACATTTTATGACTGAAAGTTTCTGCTTCCTTCACCCAAAGTTTATGGAAAGAAACAAGGCCATTTGTTTAGCAGCATTTCAGAGAGCACTGATGCAGGGCCTGTTGATTCTTTTGGCTTTGCTGCTCTAAATTAGGCATTCCTCCATTAGTGTTACTCCAGTACTTCTCTATGCAGAGGAGGAGAACTTCTTGGTGCTGGTCATTTCAGCTGGGTCAGGACTGACTTTCTGTGGGTCAGAAGTTCCAACATTGAAGTCAGCGCTGCATAAAGGAGAAAACCTTCCCAGCCTGGGCTTCTTAAGATACCACTGACACATTCTGTTTCTCTCTGCAATTGTTACTGATGTGACCAAGCAGATGAGGCTGACCCTGATGCTGGACACCAAGCTCAGCACAATAACGTGTGACTGATTGAATCTATTTTGTCATCTTACTAAAGAAGGCTGTTTTCCCTCAAAAATAACTTCGGCATTTTATCTTTAACAAGCCACATACTTAGCCTGAGATCCAGCCATGCTGAGGTCTGAAGAGTGTCTTGCATTACAGGACGTGGGCATCATAGGCTGAATAGGCTGGCTGAGCAACAGTCTTGCACATGGAAAAAAGAAAAAGTGATACTGCTGTAAGAGAAAGACCATAAAAATGCCTTATTTTGAAAACTAAGGTGCTTTTGTAGATATGGCACAAGATTGAGTGTAGGAGATGTAACCTCAGCTCTGCTTAGTGGAGGTCTGAGGCCATGCATTCCAGCTGGGGTCACATGTATGCCCATCTGAGGTGCTGGGTTTCAGGAGAGAGAAACTTCTATCGTTCCTGCAGACTTCAGTGGCAAAGGGTTGTATTGCCTCAATATCCAACTGTCTTTTTTTTTGGTTCAATCGCTTAGGTTGGGAAAGACATTCAAGATTACCAAGTCCAACCATCAACCTAATACCAAGTCCACTGCTAAGCCATATCCCTTTAGTACACATCCACACATCTCTTCCCTCAGCAGTCTGTTCCAATGCTTGACCACCCTCCCTGTGAATAAATTCTGATATCCAAGGTAAATCCCCCCAGGTGTGATATGGCAGCATTTCCTCATGTCCCATCACTTGTCATCTGAGAAAAGAGATGGAAACCCACCTCACTGCAGCCTCCCTTCAGGTTGCTGTAGACAGAGATGAGATCTCCCCTGAGTCTTCTCTTTTCCAGACTAAACAGCCCCAGTTCCCTCAGCTGCTCCTGTTTTCTGGTCCCTTCTCCAGATTAACTGCTCTTCTCTGTGTGTGTTTGACCAGCTCAGCCAGCGTCCTTGTAGTGAGGGCCCAAAACTGAACACAGCACTCAAGGTGCAGTCTCACCACTGCCAAGTACAGAGGGGCAATCACTTCCCTTACCTGCTCATCACACTGTTTCTGACACTGGCCCAGGTGATGCTGGCCTCTTTGGGCACACTGCTGGTTTGTGTTCAGCCATCTGCTGATCAGCACCCCCAGATCCTTTTATGCTGGGCAACATTCCAACCAAGATTCATACGCTTAGTTGGAGCTGGAGCCTCACCCCCTCCCTCACTCCCAAAGGGAGTCGGACGAAAAGGCGTCGGACATCTCAAGACAGTGCAGCGGTCTGTGTTGTGCCCTACCTGAGCTGCTGGTCATGGCTGCAGCCAGCAGCGGATGCACCAGGACCAGAGCTGGGGCCAGGGCCTCGGCGGGACAGAGGGGTGGAGGGGCCGAACAGTGTGGCTGTGCTGCGAGCCGGACGGCTGCTGCCTGTTGTCAGCTCGGTGCTCCTCTCTGCTTTTGGGCCCTGCAAGAGAGCAAGGAGTGGTGGCTGGGTGTTAGGCCTGGCTAGCCCTGCCATGACAGCCCCACAATGGGAATCAAAGAATCATAGAATCATTAAAGTTGGAAAAGACCTCTCAGATCATCTAGTCCAACCATCTGCCCACCCCCACCATGCCCACTGACCACATCCCTCAGTGCCACATCCACATGGTTCTTCAGAACCTCCAGGGATGGTGCCTGCACCACCTCCCTGGGCAGCCTGTGCCTCTGCCTCACTGCTTTTTGTGAGAAGTTTTTCCCAATATCCAATCTGAATGACTGTTTCTAAGAAAAAATGTAATTGTCTTTCTATCTGTTCACTTTTAAACAGTTACGTTAATGTGGGCCGGTAAGAGGCTAAATGCTAAGGCTATGGGCTCTAAGCCCTTACCTCATCGTAGTGCAGCCATATTCACTGTGTACTCTGACAACAGCAATAGAGGCTGTGGCTCCTTTGAAGGGAGGCACAGCTGGTGGGTGGAAGAGCAAAGAAGGAAATGCCCAGACATCTGCAGTAAGACAGAACTGCTGTGCCAGGTCTCCTCACACCCACAGGTCTTGGTTAGAAATACTTGATGCTGCACCTCCATTTCCCCATGCCCAGCCCATGCATCTCACATCAACATCCAAGCACTCCAACAGCATGCCAGCATGGCAGGCAGCGGGTAACTCTCCTGACTAAGATCTTAAAAAAGGGTCTAAAGTGAAGTAAATGCTATAGGGACACACTTTATATAGTCTGCACTTAGACAGAAGAATAGAGAAGGAAAGGCGTAACTGCAGGACTGACGTGATTCTACTTGCTTGTCTTGTAACAGCTCAGTGTCTTCTTTCCCTATAAATGCTTCTGTGGTCAAATAAATGATTACCTGGCTCAATATCACACTTGCTTCCCTCAGTACTTGCTGGCTCGGTGTTTGTGGAGATGCAATTTGCCCTGGGAGCTGAGGACTGGGGACAAGCTGCTGCTGAGAAATGACCCCCTGCCTCTGCTGTAGCGGCTGTGGCTCTGACTGCTGAATATTGCTGAAGCTCAAGGACACTGCTGGCTGCTGCAGGAACATCTGGAAAAGAACGGGGGAGATGTTTTATTGACGTAGGCCAATTGTTACAAGTAACGAAGGTGACGGATTTAAATCTAGAGATAAGTAATCACAGCTCTGAATTCACCATGCATTTACTGTTAGTTGAAAATCACATATTTCCTATATTAACGATTCTGCTGTCTCTGGTTTCTTTCTTTCTTTCTTCTTCTAAAAGTGCATCATTACTTGTGAAATGTATCCTGAAAGTAAAAGCCTTCACTCCATGGGGCAGGCAGGGCCTTTCTGAGAGCAGTTCACTGTGCATTTGTCATATTCTGGGGCACCCTGACCAGAAAGCAAAGAGTAACTCCATGTCTTTTTAATCCTTTCATTTTTCCTTTCAACAAATCAGCTTGTCTTTCAGGCAAGGCTGCTATTGAATTTGTCTCAGAAAATTCAACACCTTCTATACAGTTGGATCGCTGAACGTATTTAATGAGGCCACAGCAAGGCCAGAGTTGTCCGTGTTGAATGACTGTGTCCTTATCATTGAGGAGATGTGTAAACAGGCAGTCGCTGTCATTTATCTGATTTCCCATCAGGTAGCTGTCACCTGGTGTTCTTCCTAATCATGCCATGCATTCAACTTGTGCAGGAGAACTAGAAGCCCTTCTGTACATGATGTACTCTCCATTCTTGCACTGCAAGATGAATCTTTCTTCTTCAAAAGTTGCAGGGCTTTGGAATCTTTTTGCTTTCCTAGAGGCTATTTCTTTTACTAGAGCTATACAAAAGAAAAAGACATCTTTTAAAACTATTAATAATTAATGCTACAAGATATCTTCGCAATATTTCAAATCTATCCTCTTGCCACCAAGGACTGTACAAAGCGACGCTTCCAAAGTAGTTGAAGGCATTTTTGGCTCTGATTGTGGTCCCACACCAATACTACAAGTGTGGAACTCCATTAATATAAGTGGAGCTACCGAGAGTTTAAATGAAATCAGAATCACAATTATTCTCTTCATTATTCATCCATCAGTCTCACGCATAGCAGTACGTCTGAGATACACCCAGTAATTAGTACACCTTTATGCAGCTTATTGCTATATTAGCAATTCCCTAAACTATCATGTCCCCTGTCATTTCTTTTGGAAAAAAACCCACACCTTTCTCCAAAGAACCGACACAATGCATTGATTTTCTCTGCGTAAGTGCGGGCCGATCTACCATATTTGTGCTTATTTATCTAGCTTTAAAAACATAGTTTTTATTCAAATATAATGAATCTCTGTGCTCCAAGATTTTACTCAGAAGCAAGGTAGAGACAAATCTTACTTTAATCAGTTACTTTAATGAGAGAAGTGGGCAATTAATGAAAATGTTAATGGGCTTAAAGAAATGGTGTGGTGTGTTTCAGGTCCTGCAGGCTAATCTCAGAGATGCTTGACAGAAATAAATGGGTCAAGTCACAGAGTTGTGGCTGCTTGCAGCAGGTCTGAAATTAGCTCCAAGTGTTTTCTTTTAAAAACACTGCTCGCTGGGTTTGGAGCCATTACATACCAGAAAGACAGATGGTCTTGCAACTTCTGCCAAGTAAATAGGTCTTATTATGAATAAATCAAAGGCAGAAATTATGAAAATTCATTTTCTTGTTTATTTTCGTTATATAGAAGCTCAGCTTTGGACACGTTTGGTAAATGAACTTGATTAACTCCAGCAATGAAACCGCTCTCCGCTGATATAAAATGTTTGATGTAAAATTCAGAGGAGGCAGAGCAATTGGCCTGTTTCCAAACATGTCACGTGGACTGTGAGCCCACTGTTCCTGACAAGACTGGCAAAAGGTATGACCTTAAGGAGCAACATCTTAAGCATCCTTCCTGGATATGGTGCACAATGCTGGTGAAATATTAAGTCCATCCAATGCGAACTCAGTATCCATCAGTACAAAAGTTGGACAGGGTGGAACTTGCAGCAGATGACTTACTCTGCAGTGAACTGCCTGTGTGCCTGCCTTACTTCAAGGCAAAGACTAAGTAGCTTATCCTTGACAGGAAGCAGAGTAACCTACTTTGCAATTACCAGAGTGTGCCACTGGGTAGGAATGTCCGCAGTTGGCAGCCACACTATGAATTTACAACCAAGTTTATTGCAGTAAACCAATTTCTTTTGTTCATGTGTTCACACACTGACAGGTCTATGAGTGTTTCATATCGAGGGATGCTCTCTGTTGAGTTAAAATGGACAAAGCAGCATTATTACTGACTGAACATAAATGTCCTGGAAAAACAAGCTGAGGGCAGGAGGCAATGGTATCATTTAACCTTTATCCCTACAGAACTGGAAGACTCAAAACACCTCATAAAATAAAACTTAACTTGAGAGAGTATTGAAGCAGGGAGCTGCTACCTGCAAGTTAAGCCTGAAAGCAAAAATGTACTCCATTTGTACAAAACAGTTTTTTCATAATGTATCTCTTGTGATAGTCCTGCCTGAATTCCTCTGAAACACTGCAGCTTTAAATAGCAACAGAAACCCCATAATAAAGGAAAGAAATCTTTTCCAGACGGAACAAATCCAAACAGATAAACCAGCAGCCCCATAACTGCACTGCCAATAATGACATGTCTCGTGCCTTATTTTGTGGACTGCAAAACCAGAGAAGCATCTTACAAATATTTTTTAATTGGCCAGCTTATTAACATACACTGCAAAGCTGCAAGAGAGGGAAGGGGCCCTCTGACACTTGTTGCGGTAGTCGGTCTCTGCTGCTAATGGGTGAATCGCTCTGGCAAGATGCGAGGGAGACAGCTCTTTGACTCCTTGCTGCATAATCAGGTGATGACAGCTCATCGTTATAAGAATCAGGGCTCCCTCAGTAAAATACCTGTAGAGGAGAGAGGTGCAGCACTGGGGATCTGAGATTCACTGCCTTTGAAGAGAGACTGGCTTGCAAATTATGGGTGGCTATGTATGCTCTCATTTTTACTTCTTGCATGCTGCTCAGTCTCTGCTCTTCTTTCTGCCTTCCTTTCCGTCCGCAATTCATTAGCCAGACTGTTCAAATCTGGCACAGACACGGCATCCTTCAGACTTCTGAGGTTACTCCTGCTGCTGCTGCCCTTAATGCTTTTGTTGGTCAGGAGAGCAGTACCAAGGACTTAATAGGGTTTTGAGCACTTTGTTCAGGGCCTATGGCCCTCCTGCTAGTTTCATCTTTCATTGCGCGAGGCTCTTGGAAATAGTTACAAATGTGGACAATTGAGCTTGACATCCTTCTGGTTGGGAAAGTGCTTCTTGGTGAAGTGCTGCACTACACTTTTAAAGACCTCTGAAGGAAGTGGAAATTGGGCTTAATTCTCCACGGTGCTACCTGTACACTTCGGGACAATATGCTAATAAAGGAGCTAATGAGAGAAAACCAGGGAACGCTTCCCCCTTTGTGGCCAGCCCACGGCACTCCCCTGTGCTCACAACCAGCACAGCCCTATTCTCTCCGTGGAATATTAAGAAGACCAGAAATCTGCTCAACAGTAAGGCTCTTCTGTTTGCTGCTATGCTTTTTAACCTTGTTAACAGACACTGGTTGATGTCTGCAGCCATGCAGCTCCCTCAGTGATGAAATCTGTTTGGCAGAGCACATGGCTAGATTTCCGATTCCACAGTTTTAATCCCAACCTCCTGTGAGTCACAAAAGTGCTACAAGTGAAATTGTGAGGTTTTATTTTAAATTGCCCCTAGCCAAGTACGACAGAGCTAATCCCCAGACCCACTCCATCCTTGTAAAGGCATGGTAATTTATTTCTTTTTTTTTTTTTTCAGTGTAGAGAAAGCAGGAGAAGTAAAAGTGTGACTGCTCATAGCTTGCTGCCTCTTGAGATTGGTCTGGGGAGACTGTGAAGCACTCTGATCCCAGAACAGGAGGACCCTCCCCATCCAACTATTCAAAAACAAAATCTCTTTCCTGTGTGTAAGAAGGTGCTCTCATTTTCTATTTTTGCCTGGATTATGTAAAAAAGGGAAAAAAAGGATCAGGGTATATAAATATTGAAGACTTCACAGAGGGAGAGGTATGTTTTTTGCACAATTAGAAGAAGAAGTGAAAATATCATGTCTCTTGATATTCATAATAACAATAATAGCTTTCAGACACATGCCAAGATTCTGAATATTCTGGACAATTGCAGAGGGACTTCTCTTTCCTGCTAGTCAATGCCATTCCAGAACCAATAGAAGAAATACACTGAAATTAAGCCTGGTCTGCCTGTATGTTTATATGGAACAGAAACAGGGAGCCCTGCTTCTGCTGTGCTGCCTTATAGTAGTGCAAGTGCAGTATCTTAGGTGGCAAAGTTTCAAATTTGGCTTCATCAATCCCTTAATTGCCTAAACATACGATCCCAAATGGTTTTAATGCATGAAAATGCATTTCACAGGTGCTGATGAGAGGTGAGATTCTATTTCTGTGCAAGTCAGAAGCAAATTTCCCATTGGCTTCACCAGGTCCCATGTTTTCATCCTGTGCTTAAAATGTTTTTGAGACCTTAATTTCTGTGGCAGAGCTTGTCTTCTAAAAATCTTGTTAGTACAATGCTCACAGTGGGTCCCCAGTGCAACACTTCTAGCAAGGGTCATTTAACCTGGTATTTATAGTTACATAATAAAGAACAGAGCAGTAATCAACCTGCTTTTAGGAAACTTCCATAAAAGTGGATGATTTCTTACATTTGTCATTAAAAAAAACCTGAGATGTACTAAACTGAACTTGCTGGTGCAGTAGGGGTCAGGGGTAGTACAAAGCAGACATTGTACCAGCTCTGTGCAGAAGATATCAAAGACATAAGGACAGCAGCCCCAGTCAGTTTCACCCTAAAGGCTTGGGCTGGCCCAGTGACAAATGCATTTAGACACTTCCCAGCTGGAAAGGAATGAACAGCAGCAGAGGTTTTTGGAGGTTTTAATATGAGAAGGGAATTCGACTCCTGTGCTCTGTGTCCCAGCTGTGGTAGGGTCGGGAAAATAGGGAATGAGTGATCTCATGAAAGAGATGAGCACTTCAGGAGTGCCTGAAGGAGGGCTGGTGGCTGAGGGAGAGACAGATGCGGTACTGAGCACCCTTGATGTCCCCATGAAACACGCAGTGGATTGATGGAAACTAATGAACTGGAGAGATACAATCAGTGCTGAATATGAACATGAACATGTTTCCATTACAGCTGCTCACTCAGAAGGCTCAGTAGATAAAGTATTAAAACATCAGTGTAAATGACTCAAACTCTTTCCCCCATCACTATGGTTGAGATATTTCTTTCTTCTCTTCTTCCAGAGAGCTCTTAATCTTTCCTGACGTAGGCTACTCAAGAGGCTTTCAGAGGGGAAAATCCTCATTCAGATGAGTTGGCTTTCTCATGTCTACATGCCATAGCCCCGGCATGTCCAACCCATGGCCCATGGGCTGCATGTGGCTAGGCACAGCTCTCAGTGCAGCTCACCCCCTAGCCACCCTACCCCTCACTATAAAGGCAGTGGCTTTTCCTGCTCGGGTGCACAGCCATCACTCAGCAAGGACCAAACTGTGTGCTATTAACCATATCTGGGCTGAAACCACGGTATGGGGTGCAATGCAGTGCTAACTCAAATTGTGGTAAATAATGTTATGGATTGGCTTAATGCAGTCTTGTGAACAGCAAAAAGTATGCAGCCGTGCTTTCCATTGTGATAAAGGAATTTGAGAGCAGGTTTCAAGATTGCAAAGAAAAATCATCAGTGTTTTGGTATATTTGCAACTCCATTTTCAATCAGCACAAATACATTAACCGAAAATTTTCAAGTGGAATGTATAGAGTTGCAATCAGATATTTAATTCAAAAATCTGACCATGTCTCTCTACTGGACTTTCATAAGTCCCATTTTACTAAATATATCACCACAGTGAGGTGGTGGGTGGTGTGTATCAGCAGCGACGCCATCATAGCACCTGTGGAACAGTGGGTCACCTCCTCTGATGCAGATTTTTAGCTGCACTTCTTCATAGCTGGTGAAAATGTGTAACTACTGGTGGTAACTATGGTGAAAAATAGTGTTTTGTAGCAAAGAATTTGCTCTATCGAACAGTGTTATTGTGTTCTTTGTATGGGTTGTATTTACCATGGAAATAAATAGGGATTACTTATGGAGCATCCTAATGGTACGTGGCCCAGGACAATTCCTCTTTACTCAATGCAACCCATGAAAGTGAAAAGCTTGGACACCAGTGCACTTAGGCCCTGGGGCTAATTTAAATTGCCAGCCCTATGAAGTGCTTCATGGGAGATTGGTTGGCCCTCCCAGCAGCAACGCACCTGAACGCTGGAATCTTGAACCAGGCAGAGCTGCTCCTGGATCTTCTGGAGCTCCTCCTGCTGCCAGCGGATGTTGGCCTGCAGGATCCGTGTTCGCTGCTCTAGCTGGTCCTTGATGGTCTGGAACATGCTAAACTGGGCAGAGAACTAGAAAAAAGGAAGAAAAATGAGTCTTTACAAGAAAACAGGCCTTCATGCAACATCATTCTGTAAGAAGTTATTGGTTTTTTGGCTGCAAAGCAAAGTCAAAGGACTAAAGTGTGTGTTCATAATATACTACCATCTAGGCAGAGATAAATCTTTTCTATTTTCAATTTTATGCCCATATATTAAATTGCTTCACTTACAGTGATCTGCTTACAACTGACCCTGTTCTGTTAGGGAATTATCAGAATGCCTGTTTCTGAGAGTACGCTGCTTTAGAATATCAAGAGCATCTTAAATGAATGGTAAATGAGTGCATTTTTATCATTGGCTTGTAGTTTGGAGCCCTTAGCACAGCATAACTGTATATTCCAAATGCGTTTTACCAACTTCTTCCATGCAGAAATAGCTGTGGTGCAATGCTTTATTCTGCTGTTTACATACTGTAAGATTATGCCACAGTTCACCACAGGAAACGTTTTCTAGATTTCTGCCACTGTGTAGTGGCCAAACTGCAAGAAATACTCATTAAGCTATTTTTATACATGACATAAAACAAATAGCTCAGCTCAGTGGGAGAAAGGCTATTCTAACTAATAATGTAGAATGCAGATCACTAATAAGGGTCAAGAAGAAAGTGCAGCCTCCATAGCAGCAATGCCTCGCACCAAGTGGAATGACTCCATAAGCACAGAGGGGACAACATGGCCAAAAATTCCCCATTTTATTTGGTGTTTACAGGTATGACCCAATGTCCACCAAAATTCATTATTACTTTAATTGGCTTTGGAATTGTTGCTTTGCACAAGCTCATATTCCAAAAGTAAAAAACACACTTTGAGAAAAACCCACAGTGTTATGGCTTAAAAAAAATCAGTGTGCTATTCTGTTTTCAGGGCATCCAAGAATCTAAAATCTCTTTGAAAAGACACAGAGCTGGGAGCATGCAGAAAAAAAGAAAGAAGAAAGAAGGCATTTTGCTATGACTTGTTGAACTCGAAGATGGCGTGTTGTTCCCGTGGCTGTTTTTGTAGCTCTGTGCTGGTTGGTGAAGCGTACAAAAATGTATTGCTGTTGATTTTAAATCATTAGTCCATTATTTGATTCAGCATCTTTTATGCGTAACATATTTGTTTAGTATTGTCTTTTTGTTTCCCACTTAACAGCAACAGCAGTTAGCTGGTCTACCAGATGAGAGCCGCTAAAGAAAAGGACGAGAAACTCCTTCCTTGCTTTTTCCTACTCTAAGACCAAAGTTTATTGATAATTCTTGCATTGATCCCTGTGACTACAAAGCTTCTATTGTTTTTGTGCAGTGAGAAACTAACAGCAATTGACCTGCACCACAAAGTATTTATCTCAAGATCATCAGCTGCTCTACTGATTAAGGAAGAAGTCTGTAATTATATGATACATTAAAATAGCTTAACTCAAAATGTTCCACAACAAAGCACGGCACAGCTTTAACTTTGCCATTAGCATCAGATAAAGTTGACATTCATCTCACTTAGGTAACTGCAAACTTCTTGGGATCCTCAGAAAAGTGCATGGTACAGGTACCAGCTTCCAGGTACAGCCAAACATGACAAACTTAACCTGTGAGATATCTATAATTGCAGAGGATCACAGTTTAATCAAGGGAGAAAAAGATCCCTACAGAACCTTTCAAGGTGAGGTGTTCCCCATTTGCAGTGTGCTGAGCAGAAGGACAGATGCCTCAAAGACATTCTGTTCCTGCAAGTTTCATTAAAACAGTAGCTGGGTAAAGGAAAGCAACTATTTATTTTTTGCTTGGTTTCCTAATGAAATGAATCTTTCAATTCCTTCTGCCTTCCTACTTCTAAGCCTACTGCCCAATGCTGGAGACACGCAGCAGAGTTGTGAGAGCCTCAACACCACTGTGCTGCTGTGATGCCACGTGAGCTCTGGCCAGGCAGTAAAAAGGAGAACCCCCCAGTGCAAAGCCCTGCAGGGCAGAGGGCCTGCAAGCCAGGTTTCATTGGCTTTGAGGTTCATGGAACAACTTGTTCATTCTCACTGCTACCAAACACCTGCGCAATCCCAAATGGAATTATTAGTGCTGATTATTATTCAGTCATCAGCATCCGCTGTGTTGCAGGGGATTTATTACAATGAGGGAGACAAACAAACAAATATTCTAATAGGGAGCACTTCATTTAATGTGAACCATTTACATGCAGGCAGCAGCTAGTGCTTTAATGTTCATTCAGTGGGCAAAGTTTGCTTCTCCCAGTTCAGAAACTGCCAATCAGGGCTGCACCTGTGGCCATGCAACAGAACAGCACCACAGTCTGGTGGTGAAGATGGAGCTGCAGCACCAAAAAGTGTTGTGCTGGGACAGGGAGGTGGCAGAGCCTTTGGTTAACAACCAGAAAGCATCCCTCCAGCAAGGGTTGCAGGATGGAAGAAAGGAAAGCAGAAAAAAAGTCATGCAGAACATGCACAGGGTTACAATAAATAAGCTAATTGATGTTTAGAAGTGCATTAATGAGTAAAGGAGAGGGATATTTGTAAAAGAAAATGACTGCTCAGAGCAGGTAATTGATATGCTGTTCCTTCACCGCATGCTGGTGTGGAATTGTGAAAAGAATATTAAACACAAAAGATAAATGAGAATTTGTTATTTTAAAGCAGGGATCCTCAGGACTTCTTATGTTTTTTATGTTACTGGAAGAAGCGCTGAGATCTTGCAAGAGAAGACAGTGTGCAAACAGCAGCAGCAGCTTAGGGCCAGGACTCTGTCATTTCTGAAATCAGAGGGTGATGGGACACTCATCACAGCACAACCACAGGGCACAAACAATGAGATGGGAACACGGTGCTCCAATTTGCTCCTTCAAAATCTACTGCAAATCATGGAATCATAGAATCATTAAGGTTGGGAAAGATCACCAAGATCATCTTGTCCAATTGTCAACCATCAACCCAACCAAATAAGACACTGAGATGGCTTTCTGAGCCATCACACACATGTGAGATACAGGCTTAAAGATTTAAGTGGAGGAATTTGTTAGTCTGGAACATGTCCTGCTGTTGCTGGCACACTCACAAAATGGGTGCTACTGTGCTCTTAGTGTGCTCATTACTGCTGGCTGGTTCTGCCTCCATGCAGCCAAACAGGTGTTTTAGGAGGGCCTTTGTTAGCTTTTGTTTTTTTAATTCTCATTGTGACCTTGATTCTGAAGGGATGTGATTACACAGAAGCAAAGTTGAAAACTGATTTCCCATCTCTGCTTTCTGTTATCCTGCGAAGTAGATGTATGAACCTATATACACTTGGACTTCTGCTGAGAATGTATGCAGAAAAATAGTTAAACACACAAGTGTACAGTTCAGATTACGTTCCCACAGTGTTTTAAGAGTTTGAGAGCTGGTGGATTTTTGATTTTAGCTACTAAAGAGATTGTCTAAAAACCCTCAGGAGCCTGGACTCCTGTAATGAATTTATTTATTAGATGAAGGGAGAAAGCAGCAGGAGAGAGGTAAGTGACCTATTCCACTTCCCACCCCCCAACTAACCTGTGCCAGTGGTGCAGGCTGACTTTGCAAAGTTGCTTGAGGCAGCAACTGCTGTGGGAGAAGCTCACATGAAGGTTGAGAAGGCAAGGAAGCCTAGGTTAAAAACAAAGCAAAACAAACAAAGCAAAACTTTATTTATAAGTTTGGCTCCTTTAAATTCTGTGTTTCTTCTAATGCCCTGGCATTTGTGCAAGTTGTTCGTATTTGCTAAACTGCATACATGACACATGCCTTCTGCCTTTTGCCTGTCCCTATGGTCCTCTGGAAGTTACCTGCAGAGCGGTAGGCTGGCTGAGCCTGTGTGTAGATAAGTCCTGCTGCGTGCTGGATGTTCTTTGCAAGGGAGTGCTTGTCTCTGCAGTCAGCTTTGTTGGTGTAGCTGCAAGAAAAGTGATTTCTGGTGAGTTCTCACAAACTGCAAATCATCGCCACTGGAAGTCAAGATTATGAGACCTAGCTAAAAATGATTATAGCCTGGCTGAATCCCAGCTGGAGCTGAGGCTGTTCTTGTTGGCTTCAATGGCAGTAGAATTAAACTGATAAGGAGTGTTTGGGCAAAGACAAAAGTCAGAGACAGATTATGGTCTATGCTCCAACGAGCAGAAGAAAAGGACCCAAAAGCTCCCTTTGTATGGACTGAATAACTGCATTTAGCTCACTGGCTTTTCTTCCAGGCCAAGAAGGAGAAAGTGCACATAAGGTGTACCCAAGTCATGGCTGGAGCATCCTGAATCTTGGCCAGAAGAATTCTCACCTTCAGCTGCTATTACTCAAGTAAGTCAGGAGAGGCCTTCCATTGCTCATACAGGCATCTTCAAATCTGAAGACACAAGTCCTTACTTTCATAACAGATCTAAACAGCAAGTCTCATGGCTAGTCCTGATATTCATTTTCCAGTGTATGCATGGTTACATTAGACCTTCCTTCTTGTACATTACCATTGCACTTCATTGTCAGTGAAACACATGTATTATCAATACTTCAACAGTAACTATTACATCAGCAGCTGTGGCATATAGACACACATTCTATAACTTGGCTAAACGTAAAATAATGCAGCAACCTAGGAAAGCCACTCACTTGCTGGGTCAGACTTGGGTGTGTGGGAAGATTTTGGTGAACTCCTGGATGACACCGAGGGTGTCCGGCTAGCACTGAGGATTGAGGCACCAATATCAAGCGCATTAAAGTGCTGTTCAGGATCCAAGCTGGAGCCACTGTCCTAAAACAAACAAAAAAGAGAATAGCTATTGCATCTGTCAGGGGAAAAACATTTCAAAATGCATCTACCAATACTTGCAGACTCGGTTCTTTGTCTGGCCTTTATGACTTGAGCAGAACTAATCTCAGGGAGGCCAACAGAAGACCTGGGCACCAGTGTCAATGTTCCTTCCAAGCAGCACCTACTTAATGTGCTGTCCAATGAGCTTGCTGAGGTGAGCTTTAATGAATGTATCCAATTTAATTTAAAATTATTCAAGTGAGCCAATGAATCCTGAACTTGTTAGGGAACCTACCCAGAAAGACAGTGTTGAAGTCGTCAGTGATGTTAGCATAGGAAAAAGTTGTGATTCCTACATGTATTCATGAAAAAAACTTTTCTCACTGTACCTTTAGTGCTGAGGACACAACCTCTGAGGACACTTCTTCCAAGCCCATCTCCTGTCTCCTCTCCACCCGCACATCTGCATAACTGAATGTAAAATACACTTCTGTGGATCAAAGTAGTAGTCATAAAATGTGCTTCAAGCAAATAGAGAAACGAATTACTGTAAAATTTTACAGGTTAAATGAACAGTTTAAAAACTCACTTGCATCAGATGAAAGCATTTGAAAGATTACGTTTTAATTTTCATTTCTTTCTCTACCTATCTTCTTGAAATCAAGAACTGGATTAAACAGATGAGGTCAAATTCACATCCTAAGGCTACTCTGTAACTTCACTGAAAAGCTTCCACACATCTCTTAAAAAGCAACACATAAGGATTTAAGGAATGGAATGGTTGAGGGATCTCTCTGTTCCCTATTTTTGCAGAAAATGGAAAAATGCAACAGTTACTCCTAAGCTTGTGGACAACAAATGAAGCATAGCATACAGTAACGCTTAGTCCAGTTGTTTTTCTGCAATGAACATGTTTCATTCAGAGAGCCCAGACTTCATTTTTGTTATATAGAAGACAGTTCTTGTTTTAGTTGTGAGGATGCCCATATCTTACTCTCCTTTATGTCCCACCACTTGACAGGAGTTTCCATACCTTACCACCATATGTGTGCACACAATGAACTCTGGCTTGGAGTTCCACTGGTGGTATGTGATATAGTAATGGGTCTGGAGCCAGATCCACTGCTGTCCTTTGGTCAGAAACCGATAGCAGCATGACTTCCCCTTGCCAAACTGCATCACTGTCAGGAGAAAGCAGACACAGCTAGTAGCACAGTCACCAGTGTGAAAAGGTCATGAAAGCTGAGAAGTGGGACAAAGGCGTCCCAGCCTCACTGACTCCTAAGCATCTTTTGGGTTCCTTCTTCTGGCAATTTGAACAGCACTTTCTTTAGCAGGAAAATTAGCTTTAACACTAACACATTCATGTCTGCTACAACTTAAACATAGCTCTTGCTGGCTTATGTGCTGATCACATACTCCCTAATAAGGCACCCGGGATTAGTTTCTAGCAGTGATCATCTGAAGACCTGTAGCAGTAAAGTACTGGATAAAAATGCTTGTGGAGATGAGTTTTCTGTACAGATGGATGTTAGTGACTGTACAGAATGAAGTGAGTACAGGAGATAACATTGTGAAAACATAGAAATCATTTGAAACTGAAAGAAAATTCACAGATAGACAATAATTTGAAGGGTAGTAAACTGTGTTGCATTACAGGCTTCAAAGATTCAAGGACAAAATTAATCTCTGCTTTTATTCCAAGGGTTTCAAGGGGATCCCAAACATGCATATATTTAACCTTTCTATATTTTAATGTCAACTTATAAAAACTAATTTTGGCTGGATATTTTCAGGCCACCCAGAGGCAGTAAGACTAAGATGTTCCACTCAGATCTATAACCAAATATTTGAAAAGGATTGCCTCCTTCACTTCACAAAAGAGCTTTCCACTTAAATCTTACTAGATTATATTTAAATAATCGCAGGTAGCGCCAAATACATGGTGAGCAGCGTTATGGTAAATAGTCTGCAAGAATTTTACAACATACAATCTCCTCAGAGACTGCTTGAACTATTCCTGTATATTTTTGACTAATAAAGCAGTAGTCAATTCTGGCATATTTTATCCATTCAGTGAGTCTCACTAACTGCTGCTTGGAATAAAGAAGGAGAAAGTGCTCTCCTCAGAGCTAGAGGAATTGGCCTCAATCACAGCTGATCAGAAATGATGCACCCAATCTGCTACAACTCCACTAAGGTATACAGCCACGAGGCAAAGGTCTCATGGCTGTGCACCTGTATACCTCTCCCTGTCTGAGTTTACATCTACCTTAACAGCAACCATATGTCACTGAAAAAGGTATCCTGGTTAATTCACAGAAACTTGGGCTATGTGATACTTACAGTGTTCGTGGCACCTTGCAAGCAGCTCTAGGTCATCTATATGGTAATAGTCGTAGCCAGAAGTACCCAGCACTTCAAAAGGCAAGTATCCTATGATCGGCGGTGCTCTGCATTTGGGCACAACAGAAGTGAACCCATACAACCACAAAACAAACAAACATGTTGACAGGGATGTGCCAAAAGTCCAAAGAGCAGGCACCTTCCCCCCAGCACAAGGCCTGTGACAGCCCCTTCTTCTCAGGGAAAAAGTGCTTGTGGAAACCAGCTTGGTTTCTAAGGGGCCTTCATGTGAGGACCCGTTGTATGGGAGTCATAAGTCAGTGGGAACTGCACATGCAAACATGGTCTGGATTTTGAGGGAATTATTTCCACAGTCGTATAATAATTGTATATTTTTGCTGTGGGACATGCTTTGGTCCACAGATATTTTTAAAACAAACAAGAACAGCTAATCACAAATGCAACCTGAGAAAAAGAGCAGTTTGTTTTAGAAGGCAGATAAAAATAAATGCAGGGTAGAATAGTAAACGTTAGCTTTTGTCTTAGTAGTAACTCTCCCATTCACATGATTTAGATGTGAAACATAACACCTTTTGGGAGAATTGTGCTTAGGAAAATAGGAGTAAACAAACACAAAACACAATCAGGATCGCTCTTCTTGTCGCCTACCTGTGATCCAGGAATAAAAATTTCCATTCCAGACTGTGTCTTGATGTGAATTCCTCTAAAGGCTCTTCCACGATGCACATCTCCTGTATGGTGAAGAAAAACAACTTCTTGAGAGTTGCAGCTTCACACCTCTACATCTACATTTGTAAGCTATAAATACACAGTACAGAAAAGATTCATACATTCCCTGCTAGTTCCAAAGAGAGATCTATCATACTTATTTCTGTCTCACTGAGCCCTTTCTCCTCACTGGGGTCATATCTGACCTCGGTTCCTCCCACCCCATCTGATATCTTCACCACTCCCCTCAAACTCCCACTGGATGTTGCCTTTGGTGGGCATTTGTCCCCCATTTCTGAATAGGAAACAAGGCCTGGGTTCTTCCTGGCTTCAAGCACAAAGAAATGGGGTGACACTAGGAGTGAAAGTTTCTCCTGCAGGAGACTCTCCGTTGGTGCTATTCAGGACAGCCTGTCTGTTGTCCCCTGATATCCCCCTGCTTCTTGGTACTGTGTTCCACTGGACCGTTGGTTCAGAAACGCCTTCCCATCATCTCCTCCACCAGTCCTCTTTCTGCTGTTGCCCACAGGGACAGAAGTCTTTTGGGCCACCAACCGTCTTTGAGAAGAGGAGCTGTCACCAAGCATTCCTTTTATACTTATTAATGCTCAAGTAAGTGACTAAAGTCGTTGGCCGCACAATGGCCAAAGGCTTCATGCATAGCTTCAGTTCCTCTCTCCTTCTCTCCACTCTACGCCCAGATCCATGCTGATGCCAAGAATACATTCTACAGTTCAGGAGTTGCTCAGGTGCAACATGAGAACATTGTTATGTGAAACCAGTGTGCTGATTCTGCTGTGCTCAGCCAGTCAGAAAAAAAGTTCTACCTCCATCTGAGAGGAGAGAGTCAGGACTGGGGGTTATGTGACTCATCCAGGTGACCTGGGGAGATCAGTGTTTAGGATTTCCTGGGTGCTTTGGCAGCTGATGTCTCACAATCCCTGGGTCAATTGTCATCATGTGCTGCCCATTTTGATTCTGTGAGCATTTTAACATTATGTTAACCCAGCAATGAGGGAACTGCTTTCAGTGTTCTCAGAGAACTATGGCTCTGTCATCTGCTCCTAGCATGACAACTGTGGTTAGATTAATGAGAGGTGTCCTCCTGCACCCAGCAGGGACCCTACGTGCTGTCAGGGCCATGAATCAGTCAGGAGAGCCCTTGAGTCTCTGTGCAGTGACAGAGCCATGCCAGGGGGCAGTGATTTCATCCAGATCATGTCTCAGATGAGCTTTTTAACCTCTTAACCCCTGAGGACAGGACACCCGATGCAGCAGCTCACATTTGTTAATTAGGGAACCATGGTGTCAGGCATCAGATTGTGCTGTCTATTCTTTCCAGAAACAACCATTTTACTATGTAGATCTGGGAGGAGGTAAACTGGGAGCAGTGACCTGAAGACACCAAGGGACACAAAATGAGAACCATCTGTGTGCTGTCCCATCGGAGGAACAGAACACAAACAGCCTATCTGCAAAGTGACGTTGCTGTTCCTCACGCAACCAGGGCTAACAGTGCAAGAGGGGCAGAAGAGACACCACTTCTGCAGATCCTTACTCACCCCGATAATCCTCTTCACTGGATTTCTGTGCATGAAATGTGATAGCCGTAATCCATTCAATTAGCAAAACTGAGAATTTTGCACACTACCATTTTGATAACTCCAGGAGAGTACGGGATCGAGGATATGCCCTTACCTTTAAAAACTGAGGTGTTGCCAAACGAACAGTAGCGACAAAGCAGATCTGCTTTCCTGGTGATGCTCTGTAAGCCCTGGGAACAGCCTCATCAAAGCCATTGCAGGTGGAGTTAGGCACTGGCAGGACAAAAAGTGGGACCCAGTGTCATGCTTTGTACCAGATCTGATATCCCAGCATATTTTGCACACTTGAAGCATACTAGTATTAATTTTATTCACGTAAGTGCTCTAAAAGCTTTTTAAAGCTGATATGCATATATATATATGCAAGTCAGTCATGTTAGGCAGAAAGGCATCAGAGTTTAACTTCAAATATGGATCTTAGAGGTTAATCCTGACAAAAATAAGGCCAAACCTTATCACAGAGCATAAACCAGCTTTCTGAAAAGAAACCCCATACATCCAATTGCTCTTTGTCACCACTCACAATGCAAATGCATGCTGCAGCAAGCCTAGCGTGCACTACTCCCATGAGACTGGGAAAAAGGCATTGGCAAGAGAGGTGGTGAAGGCAATTCTTCACGCTGTCAGTGAACAAACATGGAGGACCAATGCCAGCAAGGCTTCAACAAGCTAACAGAGCCTGCCCGGGATCCTCAGCAGATGAAGTGTTTGTTCCTGTTCTATTTCTGCTTGTGTTGAAGAAATACACCAGTACTCCATATATGGCACTATCTGCCAGAACTGGGCATTTCTCATGGGTCTGCAGGTGTCTCCTAAACACTGGGCAGAAAGAAAAACGGTGTGATGCAGCTAGAGTATGTGTGTTTTTATCTGTCTCTCATGAGTGTATGGTTTTTGTGTTGCTTTGCGGGCCTGTAAGTACATCCTGCCATAGAGATGTATTGCCAAAAGAATGTGTTGCCTTACACTTGCCCACAATCCCATGTTAAAATGACATAACGCAAATTCGTCATCCAAGTTTGAGCTGTTTAGCGATGGTAATCCCACTCCCATGGGACTGTAATAAACTGTGTGTTAAGCTGCAGTGGGAATTGAACTTGCACTGTCCCCCTTGGAGGCAGATGGTCCCATCCAGCAGCCAGAGGTCACTAGTAGGAGTTAATCTAATGTTAACTCCTGTTAATGGTGACTAATGCTAATATGGTGCTCCCTTTCCATTATCCAACTTTACCCACTCTCTTTTCTTTTTACATCCAACTTTATGAAATTTCTTCATTTCTTCTGCATAGGGATAAGCACGTTGGCTCCTGTGAAAATGAAGGGTTTTATATCTGTCTGGGGAGGAATTCAATAGCAAATTTTACTCTGGGATGCTTCTGCACTGGGCTTTAGTTCACTGCCATAAATTGTAGAGACTGAAGAAGTCTCAGCTTATTCATCAGATGTGCTTCTGGAACCCAGAAACCTATCAAAAACCTTAGCATAACAATACGCAGCTGATAACAAGGATAACAGGGTATAAGACAGTAAAGTAAGTACTCAGGAGAGAATTCACACCTGTGATTAACTGACTTAGACCACTGTATGCACAATATATTGTGCCAAAAGGGAGAAGAAAGATTCCTCATCTGAGAAGGCAGCACAGATGTGAACATCCACAGAGACTGCAGCTCTATTGCAGAAGAGTCTTGAGGGCACGGCTGACTGGATATTAAGATAAAAAATATGGGCAAAATTCTCCTCCTTTCACCAGCAAAGCACGTTTGCTCTGGGGACTTTCTAGGAATATGAATTCCAATTCTGCTCCTGGGGTTATGTGCATATAAGAGGGCTTCTACAGGATTATTAGCACAAGAGGTGGAAAAAAGAAGGAAGAGTTAGGAGCTGTCGGAAACAGGAGAAGCCTTAGTAAAGAGCTATTGGTTCTGCCCTGATGAGATTATATCATGCAAGTCTGTTGATTTCTGTAGTCAGTCCTGTTTGAAAATTAGTGTTTGAAAATTAATGTTTAAAAATTAATGATATGGCTACAAACTCACATTAAGGACATTGTAAAGAAGTTACTTCCAAGCTTACTACCTAGTATGTCTTCCAAACTGAAGTCAATGAGCCAATTTCTCTCTACAATGGCCAAGTTCAATAGCAAATATTTGTAGGCTGGGATCTAAAACAGAATAGAGTAGAGTAGAGTAGAGTAGAGTAGGATAGGATAGGATAGAATAGAATAGAATAGAATAGAATAGAATAGAATAGAATAGAATAGAATAGAATAGAATAGAATAGCATAGCTCAGCTGGAAGGGACCTTCAAAGACCATTGAGTCTAACCTGACAACCTCACCAGAAGTTATTGAAGGCGTTATCCAAATGCTTCCCAAACACTGACAGGCACAGGGCACCAACAACCTATCTAGGAAGCCTGTTGCAGTATTTGAACACTCTCACAATGAAAAAATTATTTCCTAATGCCCAGCTTTGTGCCATTCCCATCCCACCATTGGTTCTCGGGAGCAGAGCCTGGCACTTCCCTCTGCTTCTACTCCTCAGGGCATTGCAGGGAGCAGGGGGTCAACTCTCAGCTTCCTTCTCTCCAAACTAGACAGCCCAGTGCCCTCAGCCTCTCCTCATAGGACATGCCTTCAGACCTGCTACCAGCTTTGACCTCTCCTCTGGATGCTTTCAAGGACATTACCATTCTTTTTATATTGTAGAGCCCAGAACTGTAGAGCCCATATTCAAGGTGAGGCTATAGTAATGCTAAATATAGTGGGAGAATCACCTCTCTTGATTGGCTGGCTTTGCTGTGTTCAGTGGAACGCAAAACATAAGAAATAAAAATAAGATAAGCACAATCAGCCTTCAAAGTTCAGGTATAAAAAGTTAACCTAGTTATTGAAGCCATGGGCCTGTGAATAACACCAGTTCCAGGAGAACTGCTGGAAGATGAGTGAGTTGCGCCAAAGACAGCAGATGGCCTTTTTGATGTAAGCTGTTTGATGTAAATGGACACGAATCAGAGACATTCTACTCTCAGGAGAGAGCAGAATACATCCCTGAATGTGGCATTTACAAAACAGGATTATATTTCCAAGAAGTAAATGCAATCCTAAAAGGGTAATAAATGTCATATAATATAGCTGTACAGCATTTTTACGATCTCATCACTGAGAATGTCGAGCTTGGAGGCAGTGAGGGAATGAGCCTGAGGAGATGAGGTAGAGATGGCCTGGCTGAAAGTCATCCAGCCTACAAACTGATCTGTGCTGTCTCCATACACAATTGTCTCTGACAAAGTCCAAAGCACGAAAAGCTTCCATGATGAGGCACATAACCACCAACTTGAAATGTGAATCTCGATCTGAAAATAACAACTACCATGACTAAAAGTAACAAATACATGCGACTTGTTTCTGGACTAGTTTCTGCCTGACTTACTTTGTTGATATCTGTTCTTTCCACAGCTCTATCTGCACAGCCAATTTGCCTCTTCTTTTGCAGTTGGTCAGCAAATTCCAACCTTTTCTGTTTCATAGAATTATGGAATGGTTGGGGTTGGAAAGGACCTTAAAGATTATATTGTTCCAACCCCCTGCCACGGGCAGGACTGCCACCCACCAGGTCAGGCTGCACAGGGCCCCATCCAATCTGGCCTTCGGTATCTGGAAATCTGTTGAGATCTTTAAAGTGTAATTTAAAAAAGAGATCTGTACACACATTTTAAAAAGATATCCTGGTGTAATCTTTTAAACAGACTTTCTAAAAATCATACCTTATAATTTGCAGGGTCTGTTGGAAAGAAAAACACACACAGTGTCTTTAGGTTACAAAGTTCAATAGTGAGCTCTTTGGGAGCACAACAGAAAAACAGTTTACATAGGATGAAGTCTAAGGCTGTGATGATATTTACACTTAGAAGTCTTGGAGTACTTTTCTCAGAAGGTATCTGATGAAAATTTCACAGAATGGCCAGGGTTGGAAGGGACCTCAAGGCTCATGAATCTCCAACTCCCCTGCCACATGCAGGGCTAACAACCTCCCCATTTAATACTAGACCAGGCTGCCCAGGGCCCCATCCAATCTGGCCTTGAACACCTCCAGGGACAGGGCATCCACAACCTCTCTGGGCAGCCTGTTCCAGTACCTCATCATTCTCCCTGTAAAGAATTTCCCCCTGACATCCAACCTAAATCTCCCCTCCCTCAACTTAAAACCATTTCCCCTCGTCCTGCTGTTATCAACCCTTTCAAAGAGTTGATTCCCCTCCTGCTTGTAGGCTCCCTTTAGGAATTGAAATGCTGCAATGAGGTCACCCCACAGCCTTCTTTTCTCCAGGCTGAACAAGCCCAGCTCCCTCAGTCTGTCTTCATAGGGGAGGTGCTCCAGTCCCCTGATCATCTTCGTGGCCCTCCTCTGGACCCTCTCCAATAGCTTCCTGTCTTTTTTGTACTGGGGGCTCCAGACCTGGACGCAGTACTCCAGATGGAGCCTCACAAGAGCAGAGTAGAGGGGGACAATCACCTCCCTGTCTCTGCTGGCCACCCCTCTTTTGATGGAGCTCAGGATCCCATTTGTCTTCTGAGCCGCAAGGGCACACTGCCGGCTCATATTAAGTTCTTCATCTATCAAGACCCCCAGGTCCTTCTCCACAGGGCTGCTCTCTGTGGCCTTTCAACCAGTTTCTTATCCACTGAGTGATCCACCCATCAAATCCACATCCCTCCAATTTGGAGATAAGGATGAGGTGGGGGACCATGTCAAAGGCCTTGCTCAAGTTCAGGTAAATGACATCGGTTGCCTT